ATGAACCCCTCATGACCAGGTGGTAGATCTTGTTATCGTTTTTTTTTTTTTTTTTTTTTTTTTTTCGTCGCTACGCAGAACATCCTCAATATTGTACATTCCGTTGGCTGTTCCTGAATTCCTTCGCGTTGAATCTTTGTGTCGCAATCCGAGAGAACCTTGTCAGCTCTCAATCGCTTTTTATCTCTGCTTGAATCTCATATGGATGCTCGCTCGTTCATATTGAGTTGCTTGTTTCGTACATTCTTGTCAATGAACTTTCAATTGTCGACTTATTACTTATCTTGCTCAAGCTATAGGGTAAATTTGTTGGCTTATGATTGATTTAGTCTCTACTATTGATTTCTTCTGTAGTGCTTTTAGCAATATTGTAGCTTGTATATGTATCCTCTTATTGCATGGCTGACTATAATATCTGGTATCTGACCCACACCTACACTACGGGACATTGTTTTTCAACTTTTGCTCCGAGGTTCGTTTGAAAGTCACGAAGACGAACTCAAGATGGGGAGAGATGGATGGATGTTTTCATGATCACCCTTAGCACTAGGAACTAAACGTTCAATTAAATTTGCGAGATAACACTGTGGCATGTTTGCATCACATGACGCGTATACCCCACGTGTCTTTAAGCTTGTCGCAACGGCAGCTCCAATCTCCAAGCTCTAAAAACAATTCACCATGGGCCTCCAACGGTCCAATGTGACAATAATCCACCCGGATCTCGGTATCGGAGGTGCCGAGCGGCTCATAATCGACGTCGCCCTAGCCCTTCAGAACCGAGGCCACCGCGTAACGATCTACACCTCCCACCGCGATAAGGCGCACTGCTTCGACGAGGCGCGCGATGGCACGCTGGACGTCCGCGTGCGCGGAAACACCCTCTTCCCCGCCCATGTCTGTGGCCGACTCCACATCCTCATGGCTGCACTGCGCCAGCTACATCTTACCGTGTCACTACTAGGCGAGCTTGGGTCAAGGGGGACACAGAAGGCACTTACCACAACCACCGATGATGAGGAGGACCGCGACGATATTTTCATTGTGGACCAGTTGCCGGCCTGCGTGCCATTTTTGAAGTCGTTTGGCCGTCCGCGTCAGTCCCGACGTCAGCGCATTCTGTTCTATTGTCACTTCCCGGATCAATTGCTTGCGCGCCGGGACGAGGGCGGCTCGCTTCTTCGCTTGGCGAAGGTGCTGTACCGGTTTCCGTTCGATTGGTTTGAGGGCTGGGCGATGAGCGCGTCGGATCGGGTTGTTGCGAACTCTAGGTTCTCCCGCGGGGTCGTGCGTGACGTCTTTGGCTCGGACCGGCTGGGTGATGTGGATGTGGTTTATCCGTGTGTCGATATGGATTCCGCGGTGTCAGTACCAGAGAAATCGGAGGAAGACCCGCTCTGGGGTGGGAAGAAGATATTGCTCAGCATCAATCGCTTCGAGCGTAAGAAGGATATGGCGTTGGCGATTCGCGCTTATAATGGACTAGGAGTGGAGAAGAGGAAAGGGACGCGGTTGGTGATTGCTGGTAAGAATTTGTGCATGGATTTGCGTTTTTTTTATTAGTTCTAACATGGTATTTTGCAGGCGGTTACGACAATCGTGTCCACGAGAATGTTCACTACCACCAAGAGCTGGATGAGCTTGCGACTAGTCTTGGGTTGAAGACTGCAACCTCCAAGACAGTCCTATCTGCGCTTTCAATCCCTGACGGTATTGATGTCCTCTTCCTTCTTTCTGTTCCAACTGCATTCAAAGATACCCTGTTGGCGCAATCGAAGCTCCTTCTCTACACACCGATTAACGAGCACTTTGGCATTGTACCTGTCGAAGCAATGCGTGTTGGTCTCCCAGTACTAGCATCTAATACTGGCGGTCCACTGGAGACCATTATCGAAGGCGAAACGGGCTGGCTCCGGGATGCTCACGCAGATGAAGAGTGGACTGCTGTGATGGATAAGGCACTTTACGGACTGAGTCGGGAGGACCTTCAACGGATGGCTCTTGCTGGCAAGAACAGGGCGCAGCAGGAATTCTCGCTCACTGCAATGGGTGATAGGCTAGAGGAAGAGATCTCTATCATGCTTAAAACTGAAAGAAGGCCATTTAATGGTTGGCAGCAGGTCTTTGTCATACTCGCATTGGTTGGGGCTGTTCTTGCAGTGATGGTCACAATTTTACTTCGAGCGTTATAATTCATAGTCCATGCATTTGAACCCGTGCACTTTACATTAATCTACTCTTTCTCAACTTGCATTCGTTCTCCCCATATTCCTGTACTGAACATTGTTCACCCCCAACCTCACTACAATTACTCTCATACTAGTCACATGACCTCGTGTTTTGTTCGCGGTGACGTCGCGTCGCCCTCTATTGATCTTTATCCTTAATCGCCGGCCCTCGTGGCATTGGGGTTTCTCAACATGCCCGAAATAATAAACCTCCTATCCTCCGATCCTCCCACTCCACCAAAGCCCCAGCCACCAAAATCACGACAGCCGGCCGAACTTCCGTCGCGACGTCCATCCCACCAGCTCAATCCAATCTCGTCAGACCCGTTCGATACATCCCTGTTCGACTATGAAGATGTCTTTGACAAGCCCGCTAAGAAACGGCGAGTAAGCGATCAAGACACTTCTTCCCTGCGACAAAGCACCACGCCAAACGAACCTCGAGCTCCGGCATCTACGGCGGAGCCTTGGTTCTCGATCTCCGATGATGATTTTGACCTGCCGCCAGTAAACGCTGTGGCGCAGAACAAACCACCCCAGTCACGCGTTGAAGAGTCAGACCCAATTGTCTTTACCTCTTCGGCACCGGTTCCTTTGCCAAAGCCCCCGTCGCGGAAACCGACTCTTTCAACCCGGGATATTCTTGCGCTTGATGTCGATGACGTATTGTCGGACCCCATGAAACCTCCGCCCTCAAGTTTCCGAGGGCGTAGTGATATTGATGAATTCAGCGATCCATTTGCTCTGCCGGAGTTTTCTGACCTATTAAAAAAACCGATTGCCTCGAATCCTATCTTCTCCGAGTCGACTGCTCGCCTATTGTCGCGTCTCGGCGACGAACATACTTCAGGCCCCAAAACAAAGCCTGGTGCTCGAAAACAGAAGGGCACTAGCTTGAAATCTACGACTGTGGAGGTCCTCTCCGACGACGACATTGATGAACCAGTTGCACCCCGAAAGACAGCAAAGAAGACAAGCAAAGTTACCACCGCCGAAAAGGAAGCAAAGGCCAAAGCGCGCGAGGATGCAAAGCTACAGCGAGAACGAGAACGTGAGCTCGAGAAAGAGCGCAAGCTGAAGCTCAAAGAGGAGAAAGCGAAAGAGAAACAACGAGCCGCCGATATCGCAAGCGTCAATAAGCTGAAAGTGAACAAAAAGGACTCTACACCAGAGATGATTGTCGACATGGCCACATCTCTCGAGGACAGTAGCGTCGGCACCCAAACCGTCGAATTCATGAAGCGCCTCGGCGTCCAACACACATTCTTCACAAGCGCAATTCCCAACGTAGTCAAATGGCGTCGCAAAATGAACGCCACGTACAACAGAACCCTACGCCACTGGGAACCCTGTGCATCCTTCATCCAAAACGAAGACCACGTGCTTTGTCTGCTACCCGCTCAAGAGTTCATCAACATGATAAACCCACCACGAGACGACGAAGAACGAGAACGAGAAAGCCTAGAAATCCACGTCCTGCGAATAAAAAGCGCCTACCCAGACTGCAAACCCATCTACCTAATCGAAGGGCTGACGGCTCTAATGCGCAAAAACACAAACGCACGCAACAGAGCCTTCCAGGCCGAAGTCCTGCGCCAACTCGCCGAAACAACCGCACCAGAAGAACAAGAACAGACGACAACGCGCAGAGCCCGAAAACCAAAGAAAAAGCCCGACGCAACGCCCCTCGTCGACGACGAGACTGTCGAAGACGCTCTGCTCGAGCTGCAGGTCACGCATTCGTGTCTCATTCACCACACGACCGCCCCAACGGACTCTGCGGAGTGGATTAAGAATTTCACCGAGCATATCTCGACAGTACCCTACCGTCGGGAACGGCAGGAGGCGCACAATGCGGCTTTCTGTATGGATACCGGACAGGTGAAGACCGGCGTCGATAAGCAGGATACTTTTATCAAGATGATTCAGGAGGTCAATCGTGTGACGGCTCCTATGGCGTATGGCATTGTGGGACAGTACCCCTGTGTTGCAGACTTGACTCGTGGGATGCGGATGCATGGTGCTATGATGCTGGAGGATATCAAGGTTAGCCTTTTCTTCCTTTCAATTTCTATACTGGCTTCGTTTTTCATATCTATATCGGCCTTTTTTTATTGGAATCTCATACTGACTTCTATAGAAATCCGCGAACAAAAACGGCTCCTTGACCAATGCGCGCATTGGACCCGCTGCTAGTAAGCGGCTGTACAAAGTGTTCACTGGACTCGATCCGAGTTCGACGGACATTTAGGTTTGTTTTTGTCTTCATGCTTAATTTTGGTTATGATTGCCATTTTTAGCTTGAGCTGCTGCAGACCCCAGCTTTGCATTCTGGATATTGCATCCAATTGGCATATCGGATTATCTTTTGGTTAATTGCTACTTGGGCTTCTCATACCCTGGTTCGCCTCTCTTCTGGCTGGGAAATTGGATATTGCCATACAAACGAGATAGATTTCCCGTTGGTTTTTATGGGTAATGTTGCTACCGATTGAATACCAGTTGGTTGGTTAGTGTTGGGTACTCTGAGTAGTATACTACCTCAAATACAGCAATTGTTTCTTTTCTTCATGCAAAGTTGTATTTGAAGATCAATATGAGATAATAGAAAGCGCCGAAATAATAGAAACTGCCAAGCTATATGCAAATGCGAAACCAAGATCCATGTATAGACCCCATTATTAACACCAGATGAAACGCAGATATCAAGCAGATTAGATATCTTAAAGAAACAAATCCCAAAATGAAACCAAACCCTGCCCTACTAAATAACTAAACAACAACCCCCCTCCTCTTCCACCCCCTCCAGGCAGCCAACCAAGCCAAAACAGCAATCCAAACACTAACCGTGCAACCAACAGCCCAGAACCCATAGCACCGCCATCCATGGCACTGACCATCAGACAAGCCATCATCGCCACGATCCATAGCATTCTGATAAGCCGCAGAGTAGACAACACCCCAGAGGGCGGCACCAGCCGCAGGCATCATGGCAACAATACCCCAGTTCGTGGCAAAGTTCTCGACGCCCCAGACGACGGAGATGATGATGGGCGCGAGGGAGAAGGCGCTGCCGTACCCGAAGCCGATTAGTGCGGTTGTCAAGTTGAAGATGCCTGGGTGCGCTAATGGGAGAGGCGAGGCGAGGAGGAGGTAGCCTAGGGAGAGGAGGAAGGCTGAGGGAATGAGGAAGGTCATGCGGGAGAGAGTGATGCGTGGGGATGAAGGGGGTGTGGAGGGTCCATGGTGGGCTCCTTCGGGGATCGGAGGGAAGAGGTGTGTTGCTGGGGGCGCGAAGAAGTCGGAAAGTGAGCCTGTTAGGAGGCGGGCGATGGTCGAGGTTAGGGCTATGGTTGTGACGTGGGTTGAAGGGGATCCGGCTGGGGGTGATGCGCCTGTGGGATAGGATTGAGGTGTCAAGGTTGGGATGATTGTGCCCAGCTGGTTTGGATAATGAGTTAGCTTATGGTGCGAAAATTACTTAGACAATGTACTTAGACAAACTCACGTTGTTGATGTATGATTCGCCGGGGCCGGTGACCAAGAAAAAGCCGGCGGCCAGCCACCACATGGTGCTGTCTTGTAGGAACACACGAGTTTCATAGTTGAGCAGCCAGTTCTTTTTCCGGCGCTCCTCTTCCTCGCGTTCCTTCTCTAGTCTTTGCTGCTCGCGCTCTTCGTCGGACAGGGTTGATTGCTCCTCGTCGAATGCATCAGAGAACGTGCCGTATTCAACCGCTTGTCTGATTTCATTCCGCGGTTGGAAGAAATCACTCTCCTCCAGCAGTCCACTGCGCTCTAATTCTTCGACCGTCTCATCAATATACTTATCATCGTCCTCCACAATGCGCAATGCAAACGTGCCGATGATACCAATTCCCAGCAACAGAAGTGCCAGAAAGACGAAGTATTGGAAAACGTCGAGATCACCCTTACTCCCATCCTCGAGACGTTCATAGAACAGATACATCCCGAGCTGGCTCTGCCACATACCACTGAGACCGAACGCCGCAATAGGGACAGCAAGCATGATGCCCTTGTGCTTTCCCCTGCCAAAGTTCTTGGCACATGTCGCAACAGCTGCTAGATACATGCAGCTAGTCCCCATGCCAATGGCGATAAATGCCACGATCATTACCCAGAACGGCCATCCAGAGCCACCTGCATCAACAGGCGGACCGCTCTTATACGTGAACGCCGCGAGAAGATATCCGATGCCGAAGACCAGTCCCGAGAACATAGCCAGGGGAGACGGGCTGTACCGATCACACAAATAGCCGAACAAGGGAACGGGAAGGTACATTGCGATTTCGGCGGCGATGGAAACGGCATTGACCTGGAGCTGCGAGTAATGGAGTCGGGTAAGGAGTAAATGGCCATACAAAGAGAAAGCAGTGATACTGCCGGCTCCCAAGCTGCAAGACACGGATATAAGAGTCAGTTTCTAGGGCCCCCAATTGAGATATTCTCGTAGATATAATAGAAAGGAGAAAGGTTTCCCATACCAAGTAACAACACCCCAGCCAAAGCTAAGCACTCGGATGACCTCCTTCTGCATCTTCCGTCTGTCTCGCTCGACAATCTCCCCGACGACATCGCTTAATAGCCCATCACCACCCCGACAGAGCTCGTGATCACCGAGGTTCCATGAATGTCGCCGAGATGATTCTGGGCTTCGGTCGGTTGTATCTTGTTCTGCAGTGGTATCCTGGAGGAGCGGGCGATTCGCATCGAAATCGCGCTTATCTATCGTCATAGTGCCTTCTCCGCACCGGTTGCGTTAGGCTGTGTAACTGGCTCTTTGCCAAGGGGAAGTGTAAGATAGGTCGATATAGATGGCTGTGGGAGACTGGAAGATGTTTGAGATCGAAATATGTGACGTCCACGATTTGACAGCTCTGAAATGCCGAGCACGATTGTCCGTGTGATGGAGCTTCAAGGGCGGGGAGCGGTGTCAGCTGGGTGGATCCCAAGGTTGTGTTGTTCAATACTATGTCATTGGAGTTCAGCTTTTGATCATAGAGAGCTATGTTCACTGCAGCATTATAAAGGTACGAGGTAATGTATATGTTAACTAAAAGGAGCTGCAAATTGAGGGGAAGAACTTGAAGAGCGGAGATAGTTGGAGTCATTCCACGTGACTCATTACAATCTACTAATATCCGATCACGTCATTGTAAAATGGATATCTTGTGAAATAGTGGAAATGAAGGTAAATTGGCCATCTAGAGATAGAAAAAAAAGGATACTCATGTACAAGTAAGACCATAGTAACAACCCATGAAGGAGGTAGACCGAAAAAAAAAGAATTTGGAGACATTGGGGGTATTATCAATATCAATAAAACAAGATTGAGAAAAGAAACTGATACACGCCCGAGAAAAAAAAGACAAAAAAGGCTTCTGGGAAAGAAAAATAAGAAGAAGAAGAAGAAGAAGAAGAAGAAGAAGAAAAATCAAAAAGGGGGAAATAACCTCAAAACGACTCTAAATGCATCCAAGCGTTGACGGGGATCATAGAAACACCCATTGAAGGGCCGGGTCGTTATTTCGTAGTGTCAATCAGGCGAGATCAGGCACTGGTGCATATGAATGCTAGCGTTCCCATATGGAAGCGTCTATCCTCCGAACGCCACGTATCGGCAGTGGGCCGAGAAGATGATAAAAACAACAAAAAGCAAAAAAGCAAAAAAGGCAAGGGGAAAAAAAGGGGCGGAACTAGAAACTGACTTCGCCTGCATCGGTTTCCATCATGGTCTCATCCCAGTACTGAGCAGAGGGTCTCTCACGAGCCTCAGGTTGAGAGCCTAGCGCGATGGCTTCACCTTCACCTCGTTCCACAAATTCGTCCAGACTAACCTCTTTCATGATCCGCTGGAAATACATACGGAGTGTGCGCAGGCCACGCAGATATCCCCGATCAATGTCGTGCGGGGTGTGAGGTGGACATGGCGTATCTGCAGGAAGTTTATCCTCGCCAGTGACGCAATTGGCGAAATCGACAATCTTCAATTGAACATTCAGTTTGCTCTGGCTGTCTTTGGAGGCTCCATGTTTGTTTGAAGTGGGATCGCCAGAACGAGGCGGTCCTTGCTCAGGTGAAGATTGTGGTTCGCCGTCATAAAGAATCAACAGACTGCTAGCATAGAGCCGGTAGCTATCCAGCTGTCGAATCATGTGCTCTAACAAAGCTAATTTCTCCAGAATGATAGGGATCTTTTTGGCAACGCTAGCATAATTGACGCCGTCGTAAAGGAACCGAGTGAGCGCATCCTGGAACTCACGACCAGATTTCAAATCGCGTCCGAAATACTTGTCTTCAAAGATGTACTCCTGCTTCTTGACGTTCCAAGACTGCATGCCACAGAGCCGCACACCCAGCTGCTGCGAAGTAGTGGACTGACATTTCCGTCGCTGAGACTTCTTTTTCTTCTCATTCGCTTCGATACCATACTGTCGGGTGCCCATCTTCAAATCCAGCACGCATGGTTTATTCATACCAGCTGTCAGGTCCTCAAGGAGGAGGAAGAACTGCACTCGTTCGTCCTTTCTCAGCTGTGCCTCCTTAGGGTTGCTAGGTAAGATCGTGTTGATAGGCTCTTGTGGTCGGAAGCGGGATGAATCAGAAGTTCTACTAGAAGCAAAAGTTTCGGTTTCGTGGTAACCATTGGTCGAGTTACTTTCTGACGCTGGTGAGGCTGACCGTTGCGCGCTGGAAGAAGCATTCGACATTGGGTTATCGGCTTCCATAGAGAAAATCTCATCCTCCTTGTCACCGCCATAATCATCGTCATCGAAGAACATAAGCTCTCCATTGTTGCGAGAGTCCATGCTGCCACGCCTTCGAAGGCCACTCCCGGAATGCCGCCGTCTTGAGTGATGATTCCGAGAGAGCGAGCTTGATCGGTTAGGCTCCTCTTCGGTCCGGATCTTCTCTAGGCGATTTTGATTGGCCTCTAGGGCAGTCGAAGCTGACGATGAAAGAGCAGGACCTTCACTAGGCGGCGCCTTTATGTCAATCGCGTCTGTCTGGAGGGCTGCGATTGGCCCAGGGACTGGTCGTCGATCGTTAGATGTGCGGTCTTCTGATAGGTTCTCTCGGCGGTGGGTGGCGGCGGGCATGTCGGAATGAGCTCTTGGCAGATGGAGATGACCACGAGCATGCCGTCGATGATGATGAATGGCAGGAGGGCTGAATACCTCGCGGAGAACCTGCTCCTGAAGCTTGAGATTGACGGTTGTGGCGCCCCAGATCTTAGCCCGCTTGCTCAGAGCCGATGTATCGGACTCCGCTGACATACCCGTGAGGCCGTCGACGGATCTTGCGCGGTTTATTGAAGCATCTGCTGTCCGCGGTCGCTGCTGGTGGGTAAAAAGATCGGCAGGAATAATGTGGCGATTGTTCTCAAGAATGACCTTGGGGATGACCCCTGTGACTTGGGACTGGCTAACAATTCGTTGGGGCTCTTGTGACTCTGCTGGCTCGAGAAGCTGAGAGCTGAGCGCTGAAGTTCCATTGGTAGGCGTCGTCTCTGGAATTATCCCATCGGCAGAATCAACCTGATCCTTTCGTTTAGATGTTTTCGAGAAGGTGACGTTCAGCACTCCAATATATCTGACGAGAATATTAGTATTGGATACGCTGATAACCGTTTGCTTTTCATGGAATTTTTTTACGTACTTTGGAAGAAACACTAGCATATCTGGGTGCCTCAGTTCAATACGTTCGTAGAACTCATTCTCTCGGTTGTTCAGCTGCTTGCATACAGCGCGTCGGGAAAAGCGGAAAACAGTTGTATGCCCGCCAACTTGATGACGATAGGGCTTCAATTCCACTGCACCAAGAGGCCCCGGAGGCGGTGGTTTGGGGCGAGACAGAAGCTGGGAACGCTGGGTCGGTGTGGCAGACGGGGTTTCCTCCTCGTCAACAGAATGTATACTTTCATCTGCTGATTGGGGTTCGACTTCGGACTCGTAATTTGAATCGCTGTATTCAGAGATGGCACTCAACTTTTCTGGCACATTCTCTCGTGGAGAATGGATATCGCCATAAAGGATCTTACTTTCATTCTTAGATCGAAAGGATATATCCACATGGCTGATTTCCTTTTCAGGAGAATCGCTACGCTCTTGAGGTACTAACATCAGCTCATGACCTTTCTCTGCAGCCGGCAGCTGACCAGGCTGTACATCAAGTGGACCATCGGGGAATTGTTGTAGGCCATCAACCCCATCGGGCACGGTCCGCTCGTGGGGGAAGTAAACGGCAGAAGAAATCTGCTCATTTTCCTCCTCCTCAACTCCAAATTGCCCTGATCCACGCTCCTCTTCCTCGAAAGAGTCAGATGGGGATACCTCGACATGTGAGTCCTTCTGGAAATAGTCACGGCTGCGCTCAGAATATTGAGTCGGAATGCTTTTCGAGAAAGAAGATCCATGACTACCGCCAGGCGTAAGATGAAAGTTTCGAATCTCTTCCAGCAAGCTGCGAGGCAACGCCGTGGGGCGACGCTTGGATGGCTCATCGCCATTTATGGTATGGGGTGTCTCGGCTGGAGGTGGAGGTTGGAACGACGGAGCATCATCGAGTGCGGAGAGTGATATGCTTTTACGAAGCGCAGATTCCTGTTCTGAACGATGCGATTCTTGCTCGTAATCCATGTTGCGATCCCTCAGCTCCAACGTCTCATCTTGTGGTCGGCCGCGATCCTCCCGTCGTTTGCGATCCGGTGAAGAGGTTGTGTTTTCTTTGAAAAGGCCCAGGTAGTGACTGGACTTACGGCTGCGCACATTAGCAGCCGGCTCCGCGTTGGGCAAATTGGCTTCAATTGAGCTGTCAACTCGGCCACGACGACCTCTGCTGGGGCTTCGTTCGACCGCAACGGGGGTCTGAGGGGTTTCTTCTTTCGGACTGTAGGATGGGAGATCCCGACTGACCTGAGAGCCCTCGTGGCCAGAGGATGGGATGGTCAAAGAGTGGGAGGTACGAGAGACATCATCTAATGTGGACGGGAAGAGATTCCGTTCAGATAAAGTGCCTTGAAACCGACTGGTTTTCGTACCTGTGTTATCCAATGACACCTTGTACCGATGGGATGCGCCCAAATGAGTCTGCACGCCCGTCTCTACCCCCGTTTTCTTGGAGTGATCAGTCGGCGAGGTTGATGCGCGCAGGAGAGACAACCGGGGGAGATTGGTGGTTGGAAAGAGAGCAGAGGAACGCAATGGAGAGTTTCTGTGGACGTCAACTTCCATGTGGGAAGGGTCGACGTTAAAACGGTGGGGAGAGACCTTGGAGAATGCACTTGGAGACACGGATGCATCATCGAGGCTAGGGATCAAGTTGACCTGGCGTTCATTGCCCAAGGCCCTTTCGGGGGGTAATTGTGGGGTATTTGCGGCACTATCTGAGGGAAGGTAATGAGTAGCGAAAATACTGTCACGTTCTGACAGCTGAGGCCTGTAGACAATATCCGGCTGCGCGGTATTCTCCGGAGGTGTGGTAGCGGTTCTTTTTAGAGGGAATAATCGGGATGCGGGCTGCGACCAGGAATGGGCGGTGGGGGATTCAGCGCGCGACGGTGATAAAACCTCACCAGGCCCCTGAGAGAGATGCTGGGTCTGCCACAAGTGGTGACGTGGGGTACAGGTACCCTCATGGAGATTGGAGCAATCATGTTGGGCAGGTGTAGCAGGTGTCACCAGGGGACTAGGCAAGGTATCTTCGGGAACGGACGGCGAGTTTGACATGGGGAGGACATTGGTCAAGTACAGGACGGGATGGTATGGAAGCGGAAACCGGAGTGGTTTTGTAAGAAAAAAAAGGAAGGATTTAAGACTAAGATAGATGCCTAGAACTTGAGGAAGAAAGATAGGCGTTAGAGGAATTCTATTGCATTCAAGGGGGGGGAAGGAGTTATTGGGGGGGTGCACGTTTAGGCAGAGAGAGATCTTACAGGCTAAGAAAAAGCCGCAAATCGGTCAAAGTGCCGGGGAGATGAAGAGTTCAAGGAGTAAAAGAGAGGGAATGGGGAAGTTTGAAAGAGAGAGAGGCCTTTGGATCGTCACCGCCCTTGAGTGGATCCGATTTTCAGCCAAAATTGGGTAAAATAAGATAGAGATAAAGATAAAGATGAAGATATTGAAGATGTTGAAGATGTTGAAGATATTAAAGATATTAAAGATGTTCAAGGGATTCATGAGATTCAAGATTGGAAATATAAAGAAAGAGGAAGGGAATCTGGAAGAAATACGAAGTTATATAAAATAAAATAAAATTAAGCGGGGAGTTTGCCTCTTTCACTTTCACTTTCTTATGCAAGAAGAGAATACAATAACAGCTTCAACAAGTATTACAAGACTACAAAACTACAAGATTACAAGACTACAAGTACCGGAGTACTCGGTCTGCCATTGTGCAACGTCTTACAGACCTTCTCTGAGTATGTTCTGTCTAGGGTTCCTAGAGTATTGGCGATAATCACATATTGAATCTTAGAGATCTCAGAATGATATTCAACATACTGATATACTAGGGATATAACAATGGATATTGTACGGAGTAGAATTTCAGGGTTTGTAGGATTTGTCAACCTCATGCTTCGAGCCTACATACCTAGGTAATATTTTCAATTGAATATCTTTATTTTGATTCCTATCTTGTATGATCTGCCAATCATCTGTCTCAATGCATAGTGTGCAGCCATGTCGATCGCTAATAGGTGTCCTTGATTTACTTCGAATGACCGTAACATTTTAACATCTTACCTAGGTACGGGGTCCTAGTGTCTTAATATCTTAATACTATTCTGGGATTAAGCTCACAGACTAAAATGATCAAACTTAGATCCCTTTCACAATGTGTCCTCATAAACGAACTACAAACTAAACGGACTAAACGAACTAAAAAGCACTTTCAGATTAATTGCCCCCACTTTCAAAAGCCACGAAACTGGCCTTATCTCGAGGGGAAGTAAAAGAGATATCAACTGGTACAGAGTACAGAGTACATCTTTGGCCAAGACGAAGCGGTATACTGGAATTAAAATTCTCAAGGCTGCTGCCTGCTTAGGATTATTTAGGATTATGTATCAGCTCTTTACAAAATCATGCATGGATATATATTCTCACAGTATATCATCGATGTTTATGACCTATTCAGATTATAACTAGATAGAATATCGGGTAAGGTTAAATTCCACAAAAGCTTAGACATAAATAAATAATAGAAATATTTCGAGGAGAGAAATAGGAAATATATAAGTAAACCAAGACTAGCTAAGTACCTACCTAGTCAAAAACCAACAGCGCTTAAGTGTGATTGTGATGGGATAGAAGTGATTGGGAGCCGAGCGGGTCGTAACCCAACCAGAGTTCTCAGCGAGGTGAAGCAGGTGAAGTAGATGCATTAGGGGCCAACCAGGACCAACCAGGATGGTCTTTTCAACGAACCAGCTTCGCCGTAGAAGAAAAAGAGAGGACATCCCCGCCGAGTTGTGACTTTTGTACTCCCCGCTTACAAGGCTCCTATGGTCTTTCACTTCTTAGTCTAATGCCGGTTTCCTTCCATCATGCGCCTTCATTCACACTTGAGGCCTTATAGCCACTTGCACCTTATACATCCCATTTTCCACTGTCGATCGCATGTTCCTTAGCAAGTGCTTCTTTTCCCTAATACCCATGTTGATCCCCATGAGAAACCCGTCGAGTCGCGTGTCATCCAGCGAGCTTCCTACTTTCAATTATTTATCTTGCGATCAACTAAATCTACCAATTTACTCTTGAAATCTTGATCAGAGTTATATTAATTTACTTGAAAGCGGTTCACGAGAAAACCTGCAGTCTTGACTTCAAAATGAGTCGCTTGAACGTGGACACCACCGTCGGAGGAAATCACCAGAGGTATTCGTTCATGGAAACACCACTGGAAATGCACCCATCACCCCACCAACGGGATCTAGTATCGCCTCCGCCAGTGGACCAGAGTGCGCCCCAGCATCCTACGGTGGAAGAGACTCCGAAAGAGCGACAACGAGCATGGTCATATGCACCGAGTGAGAAAGAGCAACTGCAGCATCAGGGAATAATCCCGGATTATACAAATTGCCCGCCTCTAGAGCAGCACCCGGCCAATTATGCGCCTTTGGTTCAAAACCAACAGCAGCAGCAACTACAGCAACAGCAACAACTACAGCAGCAACAACAACTGCAGCAACAACTACAACTGCAGCAACAACAACAACAACTACAACTACAACTACAGCAACAACATAACCCTTCAATGTCTTCTCAGACGTACGCAGTTGCGCCCGAGCACCAGCAGCATGTCGCTCAGGCTTATGCACAGTCCTATACCAGCCAGTCATATACAAACATAGCCGAACAACAAAGTCGCACGATGTCTCCTCAGTCCTACGCAACTCAGTCATATACAAATATACCAGAGCAACAGCAGAACCAATGGCACCAACAAATTGGTATGACCATCTCTCCTCAGTATGCGAACGTACCCGAGCAACAACAGTACAACGCCCTGATGTCTCCCCACTCATATGCGAGTCATCCGTATGCGACAGAGTCATACACCCACATCCAGGAACAACATCGCGGCATCGAAATCCCAACCCAGCAATATGCCTCGTATACTGAACCTCCCAGCTCACCACCTCCGAGCTCACCAGGGCCATTGCCCCTGAAGGTAAACCCCGAAGCTCCATCACGAAGCGAAACCATGCCCATTGTTCCGGACGAGAATCCCCTACAGTCACCCAAGTCACCCTATTTCCCTCCACCCACCAGAGTAACAACATTGCACGCTCCCCAGCCAGATGACTTGAGCGCATACCACCATCCCGGCCAAACCACCCATCCAAATCAGGAGGTAAAGGGTGGAGGATGGAGCAACGGATTGTGCGAGTTTTCGAATTTCGGCGTCTGCTGTCTGGGACTGTTATTTCCGTGCATTTTGTACGGGAGAACACAGCACCGCCTTTCGATGAAATCAAGAAAGGAAGACCCGACCAACATGCTCGGCTATGAGACATGCAACGGGTCGTGCACGGGAATGGGACTGCTATGCGGATGTCAATGTAAGTCCAAATCCAGTTCCAAACTTGGGTGGTATCTGCAATGTCGCGACCGAGCGACCGAGAAAAAAGACACCATTCTAACAGCACAATAGGGTTACTAGCCACTGTTCAACACACCAGAACGAGAAAGGCATATGGCATCCAGGGTAGTATCGCGTCAGACTGCGTGCGGGCAACCTGCTGTACATGCTGCACATTGATTCAGGATGAGAAGGAAATCCAGAAGCGCGAGGAGTACCGCTCTCGCGCGGCTAGGGAACGGAGTGCGACTCTGCTCTCGCCGTATACGACTCCCGGGCCAATGTCATATGGCCCGCCACCGAGGTAATGCGCTATGTCTAGCGAGTGAGTAGAGTTCAATGGCGTGGAGTCTTGTGTATATAGTCTATGCATTGTGATGTAATAGCGTCTGTCGTTTGATATATATTGAGATGTTTGATTTGCACTCCATGGCAGTACCAAGTACCCCGTAGGCTGTCAGCTTTGTCAAAATGCTATTTACAGGCGTGAGAGGGAGATCCAAAATTTGAAGACCAAGGCTGGCTGTTACGTAAATTTACTACTCTGGTTAATGCTGCAGATCATTGTATGCGGCTGGTGAATGTGATTTATCATATTGCCACCTACACGGGGCATGGTGAGGGGAGACTTCGGTTTCGGGTTGATTAGCTTAGTCGAGGCACACAGAGAACAAAACAGGAGTAAGAATTGATTGAACCCAGTATGATGAGTGCTAAAATCCATCTGTTTGTCCGCAAGTGTCTATTTTACCCAACATTGAACCCCATCACCAGATCCACCCAAGCGTCAAGGTTTTGTAGGCAAATAATTTAACCCTTCCAAGTTTATTGCATATATTCCCAGACAAGCATGGCACCATTAGACCATTACATAAGAATATCAATGGTCTCACCCACCGAATATCAAGCTAAAACACGCAGGTATACAGAAGTCCCCCGAGCGATGACAGCGAGCCACGCCACCGAACCAACCCATCCAAGGTATAGAAGGCAACCGTTCAGAATAAAGGACGAAGCAGTATTTGTCGCCTCCGGGATGTATCATAAACAGGCTCGAAAACTATCGCACGATCGCACGATCGGGCGAACCACACTGGCGGGTTGACATCGATCAGCCCCGATCTCACCGAGGGGATGGGTTAATACGCCACGATGATCCACAAAGTGGCTCAGCAATTCCTTCTGAAGACTTCTCCGTATTCGGGTTTACTTTGTACATAGTTACCGGAACCACAGCCCCGGCTGTCAAACTAGCCATGGCGATATGCAAGGCGATGCACGGAAGGGGCGCGTGGGTCGTATGTTGTAGATATCCATGCTACGAGTCCACGATAGCCGATGCATCGATTGGTAACAGCAAAGTCGGGACGGTTCCTAGAGGCTATTGCCGGCGTGGAATTGTCTTCCCCGGAACAGGTTGATTGTCAATGCCCTTGTTGTTCCCGGAGTAGGGTTTAACTAGTTGGAGATCACGGGCGTTGATCAGCTAATATGCAAGGGTGGGATATATCGACCCAGTAGCCAGTGCTGCGGGAGAGCAGTCATTCTTCTAAGGTTATATGGGACATATTAGAGTTAAACAATGTGAGACCTGTTCATTTCCTTCTTTTGGAGGGTTTTCTGGTTCGCTTCTTTGTATATATTCGATCTGGGATTCCTGCATCGCGCTGAGATCGGTGCTTCCACTTCTTTGAGAAGTCCTTATCTTTACTTCGTTGATAGGTGCAATATGGCGGATTCAGTGGCCCAGAACGTCCACGGCTATGACCATGACAACTTGCGCCATGTGGTTATCACTTCGACTTGCTTTGCCTTCATCTTGTCTACCACCGCAGTTGGCTTCCGCGTCATCTCTCGAGCGATCAACGGAAGCGGTCTTTTTCTGGATGACTGGCTTATTATTCTTGCGTTGGTGAGAAACAAACCCCAAATGTTTACATGCCAATGCTAACCTTTGGAAACAGATCTTCGAATATGGTATATCGATTGCAGGAGTTGTGTGTACGTTGAGATCATCCACACCTAGATGGGCGATGGGCTAACAGACGGCAGTACTATACAATGGACTCGGAACACATATCGTCGAGCTCTCCCCCGACCAGATTGTTATTTACCTGAAGGTATGATATTACATTCGCATCGCTGTGCATCACATGTGTAGATCGTGTACTAATATATCCGTAGACACTGTTTACAGGCTCGATCCTTTACACCGGCTGCATTGCAAGCATCAAGCTATCCATTCTGATGCTCTACCGCAGACTGTTCCCTGTCAAGTCCATGAAATACGCCGTCAATATTGTATCTATGATCGTGATCCTGTGGGCTGCCTGCGGTATTCTCGCAGGCTGCTTCACTTGCATCCCAACCGAGAAGCTATGGCACCCCATGCTAGAAGGTGGCTGTATGGATTTGTCAAAGTTCTACTACGGTCTTCAGGTTCCCAACATCGCGACGGATGCAATCATTCTCTTGATGCCGATGCACATCGTGTGGAACCTTCCTATCTCAAAGGCTCAGAAGCTGGGTCTTTCTGGAATTTTCATTCTGGGATTCCTGTAAGCTTTTCCTGCTGTCTCTGTGCTAAGTTTCCTCTAACATAATCCAGGACCCTAATATTCGATATAATTCGTCTGGTCGTCCTGATTCAGCTTTCCACTAAGGGCGACGACATTACCTGTACGCGGAATTACCCTCCAACCCACATCTATGAGAAATCCTTACTGATTACGAAGCAGATAACCAAGTCCCAGCAAGCGTGTGGACATGCATCGAGCCCGCTGTCGGAATTGTCGCAGCCTGTCTGTCGAATATGCGGCCTTTGTTTAAGGTTATGCACACCAAGGTCTGGTCTAGGCTTTCTAGCCGATATGCCACCAACACGAGCAGTACCAGCACTTCACAGATTAACGAGAAGGCTAGCTGGCCACGACAGACTCCTAGCCCCACTGGCGAAGAGAGTATTTCTCCCAGTCCTAGTGGGGAGTTGAATCAGTCGCCGACTCATAAACAGTCTACTGTGTAAGGAAGGGGCTGGAACTATATACACCTATACGGATTAGGACTTTTTCGTTTGTCATTGTCTCAAAAGAGGGGCTATAATTTTGTTCTTGTCTTTATCATTCTTTACTTACGACAAGGAAGCTACGGTCGCTTTGTTAGAATCTGCTGGATCTTTATTAAGAGGTAAATAACATAAAGAATTCAAATAATGCTAGTTTTTTCTTGTCTCAGCTAAATAATTCAGCTAAATAATTCTCAGCCAATCGACAGAGTCATTGACCCAGTTCAACTAAGAGTACGGGACACATGAAAGAATTAGATGACCAGCCCGAAGAGAAATAGATGATAAGAAAACAAAGGCTTTTATAGCCTTTGGTACCTTTCCTTGTCTACCGAGAGGCATTCAACGATAGCTTAGGTGAAAATGAAACCGCAATCATAAATAGGGCCTATTCCAGCATTTCCCCGAGTAAGTCAATCAGGAAACCCATTTCCAGAACTCCAATGACAAGGTCTGCAGGTCTTTTTCTTTCAGTCCAATCGATCCTAATTCATTAACAAGACCTAGGTAGGTCCCAATTCCACCACCCTGCGTACCATCCTGGGTTGATTTCCTAGCAAAAGATGTCTAAACGCGAGCAGCCACGCTCGCCGTACCAGCAAAACTTCCAAAAGGAGTGCTGGGCCTTTGTGAGAAAGGCAGAGGCTATAGCTGATTATGCCATGAAACACCCGGACAATCATGAATATGGACCTAACACCCAAATTTATAGAGGGCTTATAAGTTTATTGTCTAAACTAGTGCGAGTGAAAGATACCGGACTTGATATGGTTGCGGAAACCCCGAGATGTCCTCTTATTATCAAGCAACGTAGCTATTGGTTCATCCGAGATTTAGCAGATCAGACTGAATTCGAAGACGAATGCGATGATATGGAGGCCCAGCTCGAGGGAATGGCACACAAGGCTGAAATCCACGAAGTAGAGAACCTTTGGGTTGCCGGATTTATTGAGTCGATGGCTTTACATATCCAGGATCAGTTTGATGTATAGATTTAACTATCAATGGAAGTGAAATATTTTGTTCAAGTTTGAATGTAGATTTGTAGTACGGATCCAGTCGCAATACAAACTTCAGGGCTCAATGATCTCTGATGTGATTGAGGATTTTTGTGGTCTTAGGTTGATATTTCTTATCGCGAAGATCTAAGCGGACGCCCTTCCTCACCCCATGGGGTGCCCAGGCCACAATAGCTTTATCCATGTCAGAGTACTTATAAACACGCACATATCTTCCCACGGTAACAATGCCGTAAACTGGGGTCCGATTGGCTCTGGCGCGAGTTTTGTGCGTGCCACTCAGATGCTGACGCAACTGCCTAGCCCCCTCTTGCCAGACAAATACTCTGCCTTCTAAGCTCTTCCTCTTGCACCGAGTAAAGAAGAGCTCATTGGCTCAAGGTCGGCTGGGTATATATGGGTTTGATGTTTTTTACTGGATACAGGAATGGACTGATTCCACATTCTTTACGCTCGGCAACATCTCTATACTCTTCGAGAGCACTTTGTGGCCCAGACTCGGCATTTTGGACTCGAGGTCTTGCTTCGGTTAGAAGTAGTGCCTGCATAATTATACGTAACTAGTTAGACTGCAACAGGTTAATTGAACTTAGATTTGTTGATCGATAATTGATGATTGATTGTTGCTTAAACTCTGTAGATCCATACTATGTAAGATTTTGGCAGGGCTGAGCGCTCTATTTATTATTAGGATATGTCTAACCAATCTAAGGCACCATTCTCATACCCTGAATGTTCACTTGACTTCACTTGACCCCGGTTCTGAAAAGCATATACAAAAATAAAATAAAATTATCGTGTGATTCAAGTCTTCATTGTTACATCACTATATAGAGTTTTCATTCCAGTCTTAACATATCATACAAATATTGCTCTGGCTTCGAGATAAGTATTAATGACCATATCAAGTCAACCCTACGTTCATCGCCAACACATCGATACATAATGGACACTTATGGGCCTCTCAATGACCGCCTAAACTGCCTTCTATGCGGGATGGAGATGTTCGGGATGATTTACTCACAAGTCGCGAATCCAACCCGTTCCGATGTCTTGTTCAGGGAAAATAAATGGAAACATCACCGAAAAGCCAAACTAGAACATGTGATGGTCCCATCAAGGGAGGTAGAAGAGGCAGATTTCGCGAAGTTCCCCAGCATGTGGTCTTGCATGTGTCGAGCCAGTGAGTCTTAATAAAAGCGTTCTAGGTCCGGTTTATCCTAACAGACACAGTAACCAAAGGACCTACTGCTAAGTACTCCCTAAGTGGTATCACTGCAATTGAACAAAAATACAATCATCCTTACATGATTCCCAAAGACCCCAACATGGCCCGAATCGGTGGGAGAACATGTAAGCTCCAATATGATGACAGGTTCATTCATTTCTATGCAGCAGCTATCACAAAACAACCGAGTCATCTCAGAGGCGAAAATATCGGATACGCTGTCCATGCCCACTGTTGGGCTCTTCTCAACCATATTATATCAACGGCATTGGTTGAAAAAAACATGGAAAAGTTCGTTCGTGCTGCGCGAAAATACTGGCGTAACCATGAATCATGGGGAAGGGACAAGGACGATGAGTTGTCGGAAATTGAGGATGACGACAGTGAATCGTGGGGAAGTGACGATTGGAGCCTCAGATCCTGGAAGCTTCGATTCGGAAAATATCATCCAGGGTTCAGATACGGCTGCGATATCTACAAGAATCCTCTCATAGTGCCTAAGGTCCAAGAAGCAATTGAAAAAGCAATTGACCGCGCAAGCAAGACTGAGGCTAAAAGTACCCAACTTCGCTGCAGTCCAGTACCATTGGAAGTCGCGATTATGATCGCAGAGCGGACTTGCCCCATCGACTATACACCGGCTGATGTCATGGACACACGAAATATGCTTGCTGTATGGCAGTGGAAATTGCCTGATGGGTTTTGGAAGAGGCGACTAAAAGAGGAGATATTCATTGAATTGAACTCACTCAGGGAGGCCAACCATCCAATCGATTGGCAAACCCTATGGCTTGATTTGATGGGTCTCGTTTCTGATCGGGAATGGTATGTTCCCAGTGGCTTGCCGAATCGTGAGCGAGTGCTTGGATTTATGACTGGTATCAAGTCGAATTTTTTCGAAATGAAATGAGGATAGGAAGGATTGTTACAGAAGGACTCACTATATCGCTTTAGTGATGTGAAATGAATCGCTATTTTGGTATATTTCCTATATCTGTGAAACAGATATGACACTTTGAGAGTCAATATATGTTCTCGCGCCCAGACAGAGATGTTGATTGTCCATACTGACGTGATTACAGTGCGCCTGAACTCTTAATAGTGGACTGCATAGATCTAAATGTAGTAAGGCGCTAAGATAGCCTAATCGCATCCCCACGCGCTAACCCACATGACCCGCATGGACTCCAAAGCTCCGATAAAGGCATCCCTTGAGAGGCGTTTCCCCCTTTTCATTTTGGTTCTTACCTGAATATGCTCTCTTGAGCTTTACAAGTCTCACAAGCTACACCGTAAACCCAACATGCGCGGTCTCGACGAAAGCACCGACGTCTTTTTACGTACTGGCCAGAAGGCTCAGGAGCAAGTGCGACATGCTTGGGATGGCTTTATAAATTTTGCGGCGCGGGATAATGTTCTCGAGGTTGCGTTGGGTTTGATGTTAGTTCTTCTCTTGTATAATAACCTAACCACCCTGCTAACATATAGATCGCGCCTAAAGTATAGCTAATGCGTTCACTAAAGTCGTCACATCTTTCGTGTCAGACATGATTCTGCCGATTGTCTCTCTACTGCCATTTCTAAATCGAAACATGGATCAGAAATTCGCCGTACTCTCGAAGGGTCCGAATTTCGACCAGCAGTATGGGTATAATACCCTCCACCAAGCGAGAGAAGACGGAGCACTGGTTTTGGCTTATGGGTATGTGGCCCTATCTCAGCTACCGACGGAAGTTGTTCCATAAGCCAGTTTTGACACGGACTTGTGCTGCAGATTGTTTCTCGAGACCGTCCTCAACTTCCTGGGTGTCAGTCTGACTCTGTACGCGGTCGGACATTTGTATATGATGATCTTTCACGACAAGATCATCAAGCCTACTGTCCGGTGTCCATACTGCAGACAGTATATCGGTGCATCGGTAAGTGGTTCGATCCAATGTGTAATGTACCTCGGCTGATTGTTCAAAGGCGCTTCGCTGTCGCCATTGCTCATCGTGGCAGGATGGAAGGGAGGATGAGCCTCGGAGTGATAAAAGTTCTCGCGAGGAACTGGCTGATGCTGAGGCGAGTTTTTCCGGGGACATTCCATAGGTGGTGCTAGATAGCAGTGCATTTTTATAGAGTACAAACACAGTGATACGGAGGCAGTCTCTTTTGCATCTTTTGCTGTTGTTTCAAGTTAGCGAGTCTGATTATCACGAGTGGATAATTTGATTTGTTTCATTGTTGATATTGATTGACTGTTTGAATTGTCAAAGATGAATTGGGATTCTAATTAAATGTACAAAATGCTCTATAATACAAATGTCAATAATGCCATATCAAATCTAAATGTTTATAGCTCTATATCGACCACCATTCGAATTCAGTCATATCCTGTACCGGCAAAGTATGTTGCTTGCGACGCCACGTCCTGCGGGCATGCTTGGTGAATGCTTCTGGGGAAGACCAGGCTGCCTCCCAGGTCTGAGGTTGTCTCAAAGTAGTTTTAGATTGGAGAATGCCAAATCGAAAATCGAGTCCATCGACAGTGCCTGCAGGAGATGGCAAGCGCATGTAGTAGCGGACGCTGTCAGGAATCTCCTCAGCCACATGGCTAGTCATGATCAAGGCTTGATCTTCCGTCAGACCAGTCCACCGGAAAAGCTCCTCCCCTAGAGAACGGGGGTTGGCATTGGGGGCGCGGCGTTTGGGTCTCTCGCCAATTTCCAAGAATTGCAAGCACATGTTACGCTGTGCTGCAGATAGACCCGAGAAAGCTTCGTCGAGGATAACAATGTCTGGCCTGGCGACGATTGCCCGGAGGAAAAGCACAATACGTTGTTGTGCGGTGGTGAGCTCACTAAAGAGAATTTCATCCGCGTACCCAACAACGTGATCTAATAGTGCATATGGCTCTAGCTTGACGTGAGTCCGCTTTGTTATGGGCGGCAGGAAGGCAGTCGATATTGTTGGCACCTCGCTCGTGATGTAATTTGGATCAAGCTGGGGCTTGAAAAATTGCAGGACTGCAGATATGTCTTGATCTCGTTCAATGTTTAGTTTCGGCTTTGACAGGAAGGTCTCGGCGAAGGCAGTCTCAAGCGCTTCACGAATTGATAATTGGCGCGGGAAGAAGGCATGAATCTCCGGCGATGAATGTCCGATGCGGGACTGCAGTTCAAAGATTGAAATTCCTGGTGTGCCAGGCTCCGGAAGCCTGGATCGTCCGAAAAGTTTGATAGGCTGCGCATATGTCTGTGGATGGTCGGATGTGATCATGGATAGCAAGGTTGTCTTGCCTGACCCATTGGGACCGAGGATCGCCCAGCGTTGCCCCCGACGAACTCGCCAGTGTAGCCCATCCTTTATTTCGTTATTCACCTTCTGCTGCCAATTACCGAGTACTACCTTGTCCCCATACTGGACATGAACTCCTTCCATATCAATGACTGGCTCTCCGCCCAGTGGCGCCTGGACTTCTGAGGACTTTATAGCATTCGTATGCGCCACCAAATCACCAAGGAGTTCTTTGTCCAAGACACCAGCCTTCAAGTCTGCTTTACATTTATTCAATATTTTTGTTTGCTGTTCGGGTAGAGAGTCCGGCTTAGACTTATTTGCAACGTAGCTCCACACATTGAGTGTGTCCTCGACAGCCAGCCTTGGCCCTTGCAGGAGAACCTTGTGGGAATTGCCCAAAACCATAATGTGTGTGATCCAGTCCGGCACCGTGTCCTGGGGGCGCAAGGCCAGAACGAGCCGCGGGGCGTTTTTCTTCGCTAGCTCATGAAGGAGTTTAGAGACCTTTCTCACTGCCACCGGGTCCAATCCCACTAAGTAGAGGTTAGAATGTCACAGCCATCAAATGTGAATTCGAAACACTCACTGAATGGCTCGTCAAGAAGCAATAGCTCTGGCTTGCTTAGAATCGCCTTTGCAATTCGCGTTCGGCGGGTTTGACCATTGCTCAGGCTCGAGACTGGCAAGGTGAGCAGACTCTTTAGTTCAAGACTGCTAACGGTCTGCTGGAGAAAATCCTCATCATGTAGCGTGCCTTCCTCCTCACCCTCCATCGGGTTCAAATTGGTCTGGCCACGCAAATATTGCAGCACGCTCCAGTCGGTTTCCTCCCGATAACTTTCATAGCGAGCACTGAGATATGCCCCACGGACTCCCCCAATGGCCCCCGAGCCCTCGCCACTGAATCCAACATATTGGACCGCGTTTTCCACTACGCGTAACCGTGGGTCCTTTTCGGCGATCTCGTCTGTGAGGAGGTATGGGTATGAACGTGCGTTGGGTGGGATACAGATGTGTTCGCCGCGGAGGATATGGAGGAGCTCGGTTCGGTCAGACGGGCCAATTATAGCCCAGTGTTGCAGAGGCGCCGCCTTGGCTGTGCTGGAAGCCTGAATAGCGGGTAGAGTGAAGTTCAGGTTTGGAAAGAGAGGTGGATTAGACCGGTCTTCGGCGGTTGGGTATTGCTTGTAAAAGGTTCCATCTTGAATGCGAATGAATGGGATTTCGGACTTGAAACGGGTCGAGCGATAAGCTGTGAGCTGCAACACCCTGGGCCGTAATTTAGTTCGGAGTAGCATCGTCGTCTACTGGAAAAGTCGCAATAATGCGGAGATTGGAGATTCGGGGTTAACATTTTATAGGTCACGTGATCAGATGGAGCGATTGTATATGTATGGGTTGTATCGAGGCCCTGTAGAGATCCATGAAACGCTACAAATTTGTAACTAGATGAATTTGGTGCAAGATCACGAACACGGTATTTTTAATGCTTAATTGAACTGGGGGTGATATAGTCAGCGTTTTATATATTTATCATGTGACTTGAGCAAAGTCCACTTTTCTGTCTAATCCCGCAGTTGAGTTGGTCAAACAAAATATCAATAATCAATTCGCAAGATATGTTGAATTTGATATTAGGTCATCTCCTAAGCAGCTAACTACAACATACGTATATTTTCTCGAATATTGAAACGCCCGGATTCCTCACGTGACTGTTCCGATCTGATCGCATCCGATCCCGGGGCCGGATAGCCCTCTTTTTCGGATCTGCATCGTGCGGGGGTGTAGCTTGACAGTTCGACATGTTGTACATCGGCTCTTTATTCTGATAATTCGAAGTTGCAAACAATGGATGTAAATACTTGGAAATGGTTAGAATAAAAGCAGTACATCATTCTTATAATTTTCGCCAAGTAGTCAATCCCAATATAGATGTGACCCGACGGCTATTGGGGCGGGTGTAGCCACCCGATAGCCAAACTCTCGGGACCCGATTACCAGAGGTCATCATAGATCCTTATATAGCCGGTCTGCACTTACCTCATTTCCCCACAAACCTGCTACACATCTCGTACTTTCTACTTAAGGACTCACGTGGCAACCACGACCCGCGTTGATTCGATACCAAAGAAAGAACCGTGAACCTCCATTTGACCAACATTCAAGGGCAAGTATCTACGCAGAGAGGAAGAAGCAATATGACAGGAAGCATGTACTCTCCAGTCCTTGAGACTAGCCGCATATTCTCTGAGCTGTGTGAGCAGTCGGAACGCTTTGACTTACCACCCGAGGTCCTTGCAAACAAAGACCGCGTCTCGTTCTCTACCAGTCATAATGAAATCTACTTCCCCATTCCCTTTAAAGAGACTGAGACTCTCGCCGCCCTGAAGGGTGTCGAAGGTTCCGTGGCCGCCGCCATTGCCGACCTGCGCTTTGGTGCTGGTACGGAACCTCGGGGTATTCAAGTCAACCTCGAAGCTGCCACTGCCTTCGGATGTCAGGCGTACATGGCAAAGGTGGATGGACTGTCAAAGTTAGACCCAACCGTGAAATCGAAGCTGAAGAGTATGTACTTCCGTATAGATTGATCTCTGAAGGGACGAAACAAAATATTGACTGTGACAGATACGGATTTGCTAGCTGCCCAATCCAACGGCTACCGACGTATGTCGGCGAATCTTTACAAAACTAAGAACCCAGACGAATACTTCCACATTCATGGTTCGCTGGAGGCTACGACGACCTTGAACATGGTTGGGCTGGAGGGCCAACGACCAGACCTGACTGACTATGAAGAAATCATCAAGGTTATCGAGAGTAAGGTACAGCAATACACAGCTGTGGAGCTTGAAGAGATGAACAAGGAGAGAAGCCAGGCTGGTGTGACTGCTTACAAACACGAGGACTTTATCAAGACTCCCCATGTAAGTTTGATACGATGCTGTATCCGACCGCAACAAGCAAGCTAATCATTTGACAGGGAAAACTTAATGTCGAAGAACCCGCATGGAAAGTCAGCAAATTGCCTGGTGACCTTCCTCCAACTCCTTTCCCAGCCAGACGCAACGGTAGCAAGAAGATCCTCGAGGGTGTCAAGGTGCTAGAGATGTGTCGTATCATCGCAGGCCCAACTGTTACCCGCATTCTAGCCGAGTATGGTGCCGATGTCTTGAAGATAACCAGCCCAAACCTTTCCGATGTGCCTTTCTTCCAAGTTGATGGTAACATGGGCAAGCTGGCAGCAGATCTTGATTTGAAGAGCGAGGCTGGGCGAAAGGAGTTCGAGAAGCTTTTGGATGATGTTGACGTTATCGTGGATGGCTACCGTCCAGGAGCACTGGATAAGCTTGGATACGGAGCAGAGGCCATGGCTGAGTTGGCCAAGAAGCGCGGCAAAGGCATCGTTTACGTGAATGAGAATTGCTTTGGATACGAAGGCGAATGGGCTGGCCGTGCTGGCTGGCAACAGATCGCAGACTGCGTAAGTTACCAGATCTAATCTCCAGATGACTCAAATCAAAACTGACTTCAACTACAGGTTACTGGAATTGCCTGGGCACAGGGCCAGTTCATGGGCCTCTCAACACCCGTTGTGCCTCCCTTCCCCATCTCAGACTACGGCACAGGCTGTATGGGCGCCATCGCCGCGCTTACTGGTCTCTACCACCGCGCGAAGACTGGCGGCTCGTACCACGGCAAAGCCTCACTGATGCACTACGACCTTCTGCTCTTTGCAATGGGCCAATACCCAGCTGATGTGCAGGAGGAGCTTCGTAAGGTGCAGCCGCCTGAGTTCTTCAAGTTGCGTCACTGCGACAGTGTTGACCGGATCTCGTCGACTGTGCTAAAGGGCATGAAGGAACGGTTCCCGCACTTGTACAAGCCTGCTGGCTCTGAGTCGGAAGGCCGCAAGCCATTGACAGAACTATGGTCATCACGCGCATATGATGCGGATATCGAGATTGTGAAGCCAGTTGCAGTTATTGGCGGAGTGGATAATCAGTTCGTGCGGTCTAGTCGTCCGAATGGATTTGATCGGGCTGCGTGGGAGGAGTTTAGCGTCGAAGAGACGGATGTGAAGAAATGTTAGTCGTTTCGGCACTCTCTTCATTCGTTTTTCTTTTGCCCTTGAATATGGGATGCATTATACATCGAAATTGAACACCAATATCACCCCTACGATCTCGATAACCAAATCTAGACCAGTCCATGTCTGGTTAATTAGCTCTTACCGAGGCACTAAGCCCCACAGTACATAGCGTAATGGCTTCCCCCAAAAACAGGTTTAGCCCGTTTTTTTCATAACCCCGTTTTTTATCTCTCTTATTCCAACATATCATATTTCGATATCTCGGAGAATTTCTTAACTTCATTCTTATGTGGAAGTGACCAGCTATAGATCAGTTGGCCCATCTAATATGGGTCAGCCGGTGGATATCGAACAAGAGAGAATCCGGGATTTATCAAAGTTTGTTGTTCCCCGCCCGATTGCGATCTCCACTCACACGTCCCCGATCTCAACAGATATTATTGTACTTTTGATCCAGTCTCTACAAGCTCAGACCCTGAACTATGTGAAGTCCCACCGGAAACACCATCCCCTCGTCTTTCAAATGATACCACCTTGACCGCGTTGACACAACTGGGTGTCTATCGATTCGGGTGCAATCGGTCTTTTGTTTCAATCATCGACGGAGAAAGTCAGCATATCATTTCAGAGGCAACCGCTTCGATCTCTCTTCGAAATAAAGATCTTCATCGACCAGATGATGGCATCTTCCTGGGTGTAAATACACTTGACTTGGAATGGGGAGTGTGTCCCCACGCCATTCGACTTTTCACCGGACAAGATCCCTCCCGGATATTAGACACGGAGAACATAACGGCCAACCAAACACGCAACATCATTCGCGATTTCACCAAGGAGGATTTCTACAAAGATCGCCCGTATGTGCTCGGCTGGCCTTACTTTCGATTCTACGCCGAAGTGCCATTGTATAGCCCTTCTGGGTTCGTACTAGGTTCATATTGTGTGGTAGACAACAAGCCGCGAACGGAATTTGGAGATGAAGACGTGGCTGCTCTTCGGGAGATTGCCGACTCGATTTCAAATCATCTTGAAAATGCGCGGATCGTTCAATATCATCGTCGTTCGGAGAACTTGGTCAAAGGGTTGACAAACTTCGTCAAAAGTCATTCGAAATTTGACCCCACTAGCTCCTCGACTCAAGGTCAAATTGAAGCATCTGCAAAAAAGCTCAATTCTGAAGATCTAGGGGCAATAGCCACCCCAGGCGATGTAGGTGGAACGCTCAATTCTTTGTCCGCAGAAAAGGATATTGGTGTCTATTCACACCTTGATCAAAAGTCGTCGACAAGTCTTAGTGGCAAGGAAGCGTCGATATTTTCTCGAAACATACCTTCTGTGTCAAACTACACGCAGCCATCATCTCTTTCTCGAACCTCAGACCGAGCTGAACCGCTTTACTCCTCCGTAGAGGGGCCCCCGGAATCGTTAGTGCCAGATAATGTGCCTATCACTGAACGCATAGCTGCGATCTTTTCCCGTGCCAGTCTTCTACTGAAAGAATCTCTGGATCTAGACGGCGTAGTCTTTCTGGATGCCCACCGAAACGATCCGCAATTGTTAGTCACTCTTTCTTTGGAGAATTGAAAATTTCTAACTCTGTCTTAGCGAAACTTCTGAACGGCCTGATGATTGGGATGCTTTGACGAATTTTGAGACAGGCGCCCCAATTGCTTCACGTTCTAGCCCTTGGGGTCTTCCTAATGAAAATTCACGCAAGGATGGGGAAAAGTATTGTGGCTCCTTGGGCCAGGCCATAAGCTGCAGGCCAGCTAAGAGCAACACTGACTCGAAATGCCATGTCCAAGTAACAGAAGAGTTACTGCATTCGTTGATCACACACTTTCCAGATGGCCACATCTTCAACATAGACAGCAGGAGTAATTTGGACAACTCCGTGGACTCCGACAGTGGCAATTCAGAGATTTCTGCTCTCAATTTTGCAATCGCTCGGCGGATGTCTCATCATATCTTTAATCAGTTCCCTGAGGCCAATTGTGTGCTTTTTTATCCTCTATGGGATTGGAACAAAGCCCGATGGCTTGCAGGTACACTGGTTTGGGTGAACGGAAACCATCGTCCTTTGGGCACAGAAGACCTGCACTACTTTAAAGCTTTTGGGGATTCTATGATCTCCGAAGTATCTCGGATACACTGGACTGCCAGTGAAAACTCGAAATTCGACTTTGTAACTTCTATCAGTCATGAGCTTCGCTCTCCACTACACGGGATCCTCGCGAGCGCCGAGTTGCTACATGACATTCCACTTCAGACTCCGCAGCGTGATATGGTCAACATGATTTCAACATCAGGACTGACCTTATTGGATACAATAGATCACCTGTAGGTTATGTTCGGTGTCCGCTGAAAGAGACTTTTAACTGACAAATATCAGGCTGGATTACTGTAAGATCAACAACTTGGCAATCACTCAAAGTCCCAGCGTGACCAACACTGAAGATTCTGGGGCAACCCTTGTCTCCGACTTCAACCTAGATTCCTTGGTTGAACAAGTCGCCATGATACTTCATACCGGCCGAAAAGCACCTGGGCCTGTCTCCTCTCTTGCAAGAGAAACAGCTATCGCTACTCCGTCCTTTCAACCCGCATCTCGTGTTACTCAAAATGAGCATGAATTGTCAGTGATAGTGAACATCGATCAGTCCAGTTCCTGGAATATCCGTTCATTCGCTGGCGCATGGAGGAGAATAGTTATGAATCTCCTCGGCAACGCAATGAAGTGGACGCAAACCGGCCTCGTCGAGGTATCATTGTCACAAGCCACAGGTAAAACTAAAGCAGAACCTGATCTTGTCCATCTTCGCGTTACAGATACAGGCCAAGGAATTTCGCAGGAATTTCTCAGAAACTCGGCTTTCTCTCCATTCGCCCAGGAAGACCCCCTATCAGAGGGTGTCGGGCTTGGACTCAGCGTCGTGCATAAGCTAGTGACTTTCCTGGGTGGTGATCTCAAAATGAAGAGCGAAAGCGGTGTTGGTACTCAGGTTGATGTTTATGTTCCCGCACAGCGCCCTAAGGACTATGCCCCTGCCAAGTTATTCGACGATGCTTCCTCGCTAGGAATTCAAAGATACAAGGACAATCTGAAGGCATGTCTCATTGGGTTCAACGGCTATCCTGACTTGAAGGAGACGCCCACTGGTATTCTGAGCTCCGATGCGAAACGAAAACTTTCTATTCAAAGCACTCTTTCCAATGTTTTCAAGGTACAGCTAGGATGGCATAGCACACTGGCAGAGTCACTTGATAAGGGAGAGGGTGACATCGCGGTCATCGAGGAGGCCAAATTCACTGCTATGTTGAATAACCAATCCCCCTCCACTACGAATGCCGGCCATCATTTCAAATTCTTCATTGTCTTGGGCAGCACGACACCCTCGCTAGGTTACTCTCTTCCGCTGAATGCCATCCTGATGTCACAACCGTACGTTCAGAGTTCATCCCCTTTTGCGAATACTGAAGCTAAATTTTGATGCAGATATGGACCTCAGAAGATCTGTGAAACTGCTCAAAGAATTATGGATCTGTACAATTCACAAGCTCTGATCGGTGGCCTTGAAGCTCCAATTATCGATCCACCAACAAACCATGAAATTCTTCCGTCAAACCCGACCGCACCGAGCCTGCCGGAAGTACGGCAAAGTCTTTCACAAAAGCCTCCAATTGAATTAGTCTGTCCAAGTCCTATTATCGGGGGCTCCCCGATTCGGCCCAATGGTCAAATGAACGATATCCATGTCCTCATCGTGGATGACAATGACATCAATCTTAAGGTAAGTCAGCTCACTGCAAACTCGCTCACTCAAAAGACATCATCACTTTCTCGCAATATCGGTCCCCTCAATCCATTTCTTGTGACCTGACTTACAGCCATGAAACAGATCCTGGCTACGTTCATGCGAAAGCTTGGTTATAGTTACGACACAGCTTCTAATGGACTGATTGCGTTGGAACATGTTGAAAATTCAAGTCGAAGATACGACTTGATATTGATGGGTTAGTTAATCTACAACTTTGCTAGAACATCCCACATCCGGAATTTACTAACTCCGTGGTCTTCAATTCTAGATTTATCAATGCCTGTAATGGATGGGCTAGTTTCAACCAGCAAGATCCGGCAACACGAAAAGGACCACGGTCTCCAACCCTCCCGTATCATGGCTGTTACAGGCGTCGCTTCGGATACCATGCAACAGGCGGCGGTGACCGCAGGTGTCGACGACTATTTAGTCAAACCTCTCTCTCTTCGTAAGCTGAAGAAGCTTATAGAACCCACACTCTAATCGGATACCCTCTCCCATGGATATAACAGTTGTCTCCGGCAATTTTAGGAAGACTATTTGAACAATGGCATTCAGCGTTACCCTTCTCATAAAACCATGGCATAAGCCCAAGAGCAAGAAAACGAACGGCTCTAGAAAGCTTATCCTTAACTAACAAAATATACAATCACATTCACAGTGTCACCTCATTAGTATCATAAACCAAATGCGGATGTCTAATTCCCCCTTATAGTCAGGACTAAAGTCCGAGAAATACTTGTATACACCCCGAATGTTGTCTTCTTGATTCACAATCCCGGACCAGTCTTCTTTCTAGCCCTAGCATCCTTCACAGCCTACGTATAGGTTGCATTCGCGCGACGAATACCATCTAATTTTGCAACATCCTCATCCAGAGGTCGATTATATCTTCCAGCAACCGGAAGAGTAAGAATACATCCCCCACAGCTATAACAATACGATGCCCAGCATGAGGCGACATAGCATGCGCACAATCCCAAGCAAAAGACAACCATCCTTATACCAGTATCCACCAAGCAGGAGTCTATAGATAGAGTGAACCTTGACAACATCACCCCACCAACCGCAAACGTTCTCAAGAATCTTCAACCTAGAATCCTCAACCTGCTCAATATCCCATACAAATCTTCTCCCTCCCATTACGGCTGCTCGCAGAGCTCGACAATGCACGCACCCGCGAGAACCCCACCTAACCCCAACCTCATTCGCCATGCAAGGATTCACCACAACCAATCCTCTCTCTAGCCCAGCCTACGTAATCCCACTCCCCAACGTTACACCACCCCGCCAACAAATGCAGCGACAGCTGCATGCCACCACACCCACGGACTCGGAGCTCGTCATACACACACAGACAGTCAGCCGGAGGCCGTTGGACTTGACCCCCACCCAGACGACCCAAGCGGCCGAGTCGTCAGCTCGATGCGCATCTCATACACCACGCAGGTAAGACTGTCCGGCTCGTGCAGGCGCAACGCCGTTGAGAGACCGGCTACTCTGGCGCTGACTAGATGTCGTTATTGGTACCGGTGTGGCGGGGTTTGGTGGCGGGGTTTTGCTTTTTGTGTTGGTGGTCTTGTTCATAATGCACGTCCCTTTTTGTGTCAGTTACTAAATCTCTGGATCCACTACTGTGCATGTATGGTCTTCGAGGGGAATTTGAACATAGTTGCGACATATGTAGTATGTGCTGGTTTGGGCTGTGCTTACCTTGCGTGGTTCGGACATTGCGGTGGCTTTGGTGTAACTTTCGAGCTTGAGGGGTTTTTTTTCTCTTTTTTATTAAGATAAGAATAATCGGCCACGTCTACGACCTTATTATCTCTTTCTAGTAGGTCTTTTGAGATATCTTTTCAGCTGCTCTTTCTTAATGTCTTTTTAAATGTATGTGAAGGTGGTAAGCTTACTTTGTGCAAGAGACTTTTCTATGTATAACTTTGGATAATTGGAATTGAAATTTAGATTTGGATTTAGGTTTGGAGGATTTGATTTTATCTAGTTTTGGGACATGTTCGAGGGGAAATATATATTTGGTCTCGTATACTTCATAGCTCGGGCATGAACTCTGTACTCCACCGTTAGTTCCTTAATTGGGTAAACATCACCCCGGTAGTTATTATATATATCCTTGACTATAACAGAGTATACAACAACGAGATATTGCGAGGGATTTGTTTCCATATGCGAGGATATGCACGAAATCCAACTTAAATTAGAGTACATGAAATATCAAATCTGACATGCTAAGATATACGGAGTACTATGACAGAGGCAGATTTAAACAAACAATGTGCTTGATGTAAGGTCCAGCTCATATCACTATCACAGTCACTATAATTGGCCCCCCCAAACCCCCGGGTGGAGAAACTTGGTATGTATTTGGAATCGTACGGCTATCAAATACATAAAGATTGTATTCCAGTCTTTCGAAAGGGGTCAAGTTTGTCATGGCTGCATTCTATAGGTTGTCTAAGGAGAAAATGTCTAACGGATACTAGCAGGGTCATAGCGCGCGATTCCAAATCCCCCTAGGAAGCACTGACATATGTACAAACAGGCCCCCCCTGAATAGGAGTCTTGCAATTCAACATGCCTTCGAAAATCTCAAATAAAAAAAACAAACAGTGTACCGCCAATGAACGCCGCGAGCCGGACAGGATATATGGCGCGATGCTGGAAAGATACAAACTCCCAAATCAGAACAAAAACAAAAAAGCAAAAAGTGGACAACAAAAAACTGGTATGTACGGTTCTGAGACAGACAAATAACAACATTAGGAATTAGGAATCAAAAATGGGGCCAAAGGCCGGGGTCCCTCGACATTCAAGCTCATAGACGATTCGCGCCGTCAGCACAGGGTTACTGATCACGCACACCGCTTCAGCTTTGAAGTCCCTGACCTGCTGCAAGATGATGGGTACCATGTCCATACGCCCACACTTGTCGGTGTCTAGGATGATGGGGGCTGAATCCATCTTGTGGACCATATGCATCACCCCGTCACCATAGGTCTTTCGAGGCGCACGGGTTTGCCAGAGGACACGCAGTGCAGGTCGGTTATCATCACCAAGGAATGACAGACAAGGTCCGATGCCCGACCCAGTAGTGACAACTACCACTCTCTTGAAAACGCGCATGGCATAAGCGAAGCCATAGATCAACACACCCCGCTTCCAGAGATGGGTGGGCGGGTTCTGGATTGTTTCTGCAGTCCAATCGCCAGCTTTGGACACCAAGGAAGAGAAGCTTGGGTTGCCATGAACGCCCGAGGGAGAAGAGTCCGGGAAAGTGGCAAAACCATGCCAGTCGCGAAGCGGGTGCTTAGCTAGTTGGATGCCCTTTCCAAAAGTGGTAACAGCATGGTCAAAGTGCAAGCGGGTTGCGTGGGTGGATAGGGGCTCGGCCCGCACCGCAACCTTTCGGAGCAATAGCCAAGGTTGGATAATGGCCGCTACAGTGAAAATCAGGAACCAGAATGCTGGCAGTTCGATAAGGAATGTTCCCAGTGGCTGGCCCAAGGACTTGCTGGCACCTCGTGAGAATACGAGCAACAAAGCAACGAACAAGGCCACGACAAGCCACCCTGAAAAACGGTGGGTGAGTTCGAAATAATCATGACGTTTCATCCGGAAGGCGGGGTGGGCCACCACGATTATCGCCAATAACAGAACCAAGATGACATAAGCTAGCGCGACTGGCGCTGCTGAAATGCCAATCTCCGGACCCTCCGGTGATGGTTTCCAATACTGGTGGGATAGCACGCCCACAAATCCCATGTACCACACGAGGGAAGCGACTCCACACCCGCTATGGACACCACCGTAGTGGTAGACCTTCGCAGCAATCCGACGCAGGGGTAGCGGCGCTGAGCGCGGCATCGAGCATACTATCAAGAAGATAGCATTGACCACTAACGGTTGGCGGGCCAGACCGCAAGCGAGCAAATTGGCAGCTGTGGCGTTGACCAGAGCCAATAGTTTTTGTTCCGTGCTCATGACGTACACAAAGACAGCAACGTTAGCGCAGAAGACTAACGTGAAAAGACGTCGGTATAATGTGAGAATGGCATATCGAGTGGATGCAAACACCTTGGGTTTGCGTTGGGTAGTATGTTGGGTCTGTGCTTCCACATCGATATCCTTGTCGAGGTCAAGATGTAATGATTCGCTCTCCTTGGAGTAGTGTTTCTCATTGATTCTGTCTCCATTGGTAAGAGTGGCCTCGCTCACAGTTGGTGTGTGTCGCGCAATGACCGCCTTTGGAGGCATAGTGATGGGGGACTTCTCTGACATAACTATGATGGGTTCTCAGGTTCATATAAAAAAGTTGAAAAGATGACTGGAGGTGAATGAACTAATCAAAGCCAGGGATTCCCTTGAAATGAAGAAAGAAATAATTGACAATCTAACTAGGGCGAAGTCTTCTATTTTTGAAGTGAAGCATATGTCCAAGTCCAAGACCAAGTCTTTTTTCTTTTGTTTTTTTTTTTTCCACCGAACTCCACCAGGATCAGCCTCACATCCCCCCCTTCTGCATGGCTCCTGCCTTCGCATCTTTCTATCCAAATCGAGTCTCGCCTGTCCCTTTTAGGTGTCACCGGGCATCACCGTGAACGGTGACGCTTTTTCCCACATTTTCTCGCTTCTATTCGCCCCCAGTCCCTTTTTTTATTTTTTGCGTCTCTTTTGAGTTTGGCTCTGAAAAATCAGGAATGCATTGCATATGATCCTATTATTTGACCATTATTCCCTTCCCCCATGTTCCCCCTTCAGGTGTATGATGTATGACACTATCACCTCCGGGGTCCAGACTTCACGCTATTGCAAGTCTTTCTTGCCAATCAGCAATCAAAGAACCATCCTACTCCCTTGCTTTCAGCTGCTTTCAGTTCTTCACACACCCTCGGGGAAGTGTCTGACGCAATCCCCGACCCACGTTGTAGCCTGTCAAAACTTTGTCTGGTCGTCTATCCCAAAGGGAGTGGAACCTCCTTTCGGGGATGAACCGGAAAGGGTGATCAAAGAATGGGTCCATTGAAGTATGATTGCAACCTAATTCACACCGATCTCTCCACTATAACCAATCGAGGCACCAGTCAAGACGAGATGCATCGGATTCACTATCACGGGCCAAGTGCAACCTGACCAGGGTCGAGTTCAACTAGACCCCGATGGGGTGTAAGCGCCGGATATGATGGGCCAGTGCACCTGATCATACGGTCAAGGAAAGTCTTCGATAAAAAAGAAAAGAAAACAGCCGATCTGCAGCCTAGGGATGGCGTTTGACGGAGCACAAGTCCCTTCCACCCGGATGCACACTCGAGGCGCCATCAACAATGCCAATGTGGATCTATGGGAGGTGTGGCGGAACCGTGCCATGAGTTAATGCAATAAGCCGCCGGATGATAGAACAGTTCATGTTTGTTGGGATTTTTTTGCTTTTTCTTTTTGTTTCCTTTTCCTTTTCTTTTCCGACTTTTGTTTCCTTTCAACGCTGCGCGGTCGATCATCACGATGCAGCTGAGCCTGTTCGCGCTATGTCCAATTCCCGGCCCCTCTCTTATCTCACACTTGGAAGGTGAAGTTCTACGCTAATTCCCCCACCCAGCGCCGAGGTACTGGCAACCATGCACGGGTGTAGTACATAACCTGGGAAGTGGAGTATGGGTATTCCGTTAGTCGATCTTTCGTTAGTTCGATCTGGATCTGGATCCGGGAGGGGGAAGCCGCTCTTAGATTCAGACTACGAGACTCCACCGGAGGGGGAAAACAATGAGATAGTCTCCACTGAGTATCAGCTGCAGGTTTTAGGCATCTATTGGGGGGATATTGGGCCCCGTAACAACCATACACAACCAGTGGAAGTGGAAAGAGAGTGCATCCCTTCATGACAAGGATGTCAGAGATGAATGACAGCGGGGAGAGGTCCACGTCTCCGATGTGGCAGGGGTAAAATTTACCCCGTGTGGAAATGTTCTAGGCGAATAGGTATCGGTGGAACACGGGATGTAGCACCCCTGTCAAAGCTCGTGGCAACCCTTGAAGAAAATGACATATTCTTTTGATATTTTTTTTTTAGGATTTTCTCATTACAGGGAATGTGAGTTGATCGGAATAAAGTTTGGAGCATATCTCACGATCCGGTCGATCGTTGTAACCCATTTTCTAAAGTATATCTTACGCAAGGCAAGAGAAACCTTCGGGAAATCTAAATCGTCACGGGGACACATCAAAAGGCAATCTACTCCGTACTCCGTAGTGTGGCTCAGCTCTTCCGAGAGGCTAGTGAATTAGTAAGAAGTAGATTGGTTAATTTCATTTAATTATTTCAGTTGTATTATTAATCTTTTTTTATTTTTATTTTTCTCATTCTCTTTTATTGGATTTCAGAACCCGCCACAATGGATGGCGCTAAGAGCTTTTAGTGTCGAACATGTGTGGAGACACGAGTACTCCCATTGTGAAGGGTGTTCTCCCCATTCTATGACATATTATGATTTTATGATTTTATGATTTTATGATTTTATTCTTTTTATGGTTTTTATTATTTTTCCTTTTTGTTCCCTTACTCTAAATGTTTGGGTTCAGCTTTCAGCTCCTTAATTATAGATTTATTAACTAAAATCATTTTCAATGGCATAGTATCGAATATAGTAAAGAGTTCACCTTACTCCCGATCCAGAACTAGTGGCATTACCTAAGCCTATGTATTCCAAATCCTGGAACAGGTGGAACAGGCCGCAGATGTCAAAAGGTCAAAATCAAATCAAAGAGAAAATGACAAAATGGAAAATGTACATTAACCTATATAATCCCCCGACTGACAGTACCCTGCTTGAGTCTCTCATCTATATATTACTCTATCAATCTCACACTTCCCTTCTTCTTCTACTTCTAAATCATCACACAATGGGCTGGAACACAACTATGTCTTCAAACAATATGCTTTCCCAGGAGGTCTACTCTGACTTGCTGAGTTTCACATTCGATGGACCAAAGCCTTACAATCAAAATCAACCACTGTTTATTGATGCAGAGGATCCTTCTCGATCATTTACAGGTGTTCAGTTCCGACAACTAGTTCGGACTCTGATCGCTGGTTTGAAAGCCCATAATGTCCAGCCAGGAGATTGTGTATTGCTACACTTGGGAAATAGCGTGAGTGAAAGAAAGAACAAAAAAAAATAGAATCTTTGAGATCAAAAAATCCAAGATTGGATGAAATGTTCTCAGAAGATAAAGAATCAACACTGACTCGGGCCTGTCATATGCAATAGATACTATATCCCGCACTCTTCTTCGGTATAATCGGCGCCGGCGGTGTCTACATGGGCTCCAACCCCCGCAGCCACCCCCAAGAACTCGATCACATCCTCAGCCTCGCTGAACCAAAACTCATCCTCACAACACGCGATGCCCTCCCTACCGTCCTCGACGTCTCGGCAGCCCGTGGCATCCACCCAGCTCAGGTCTGCCTTGTCGACGAGCGAGCCATCGACCACTGCGCACAACTATTCCTATGGTACGAACTAGGATATTCATCGGCAGGACAATTCTGCGCAATGAATGGCAGCGACCGTCACAACAGTTTCCCAAACCTTCTTTGCTACGGCGAAAGTGACTGGCTGAAAATCGCCGACCCTGTCGTCGCACAAGCCACACCTGCAGCCATGTACCCAACCAGCGGTACCGGTGGACTTCCCAAAGCGGCAATCCTGTCCCACTATGCACTTGTCTCACAGCACCGCACCATTTACTACGAAGTGCCACACCCAGTCAGTCGGCTCATCTCGCTGCCCATGTTCCATCTCTTCGGTGCCCTTTGGACACATCTCTTCCCTGTCCGCTATGGACACCCGCTGTTTGTCATGCCGCGCTTCGAGGTCAATGATTTCTTGGCTGCTGTCCACAAGTACCAGATCTCAGAGACTTACCTCGTCCCAGCTATCATTCACTCCATCAATCAGTCAACTGTACCCATCGGTGACATGTTGTCATCGCTGCGCTATGTGGGTGTCGCTGGCGCTCCTATCGATGGTCACTCCATGCAACAGTTCCGGAGCCACATCAACCCTATGGGATACGCTTGCCAAATCTGGGGAATGACAGAGGTCGGTGTAACATTCCAGACTCGCTGGGGTCAGCAGGGTGACCCTGGAAGTATTGGCACATGTATTGCCGAATACGAAGCCCGCCTGGTGGACCCAGATGGCAAGATCGTGCAGGGCGATTGCTGCTCGGGTGAATTGTACGTCCGCGGACCCGGTCTGCTCAGTGCATACAAAGGCCGTACAGACGCATTAGAGCCACATGGATGGTTCCGAACGGGAGATGTGGCGTATGTCAAGCAAGGCCAATATTACATTATTGGACGGACGAAGGAGCTGATCAAAGTACGAGGGTAAGTTTCATCATCAAGCCCCACTTCCCTCATCAACTCAACAAACATGCTAATAATTCTCTACAGATGGCAAGTAGCTCCAGCTGAAGTCGAAAGCGTTCTTCTCCAACACCCGGGGATTCTTGATGCTGCCGTGATTGGCGTGAACAAGGATGGCGTGGGCGAGGTCCCACGCGCTTTCATCGTGCGCTCTCGCGATCCATCCATGCGCCGCCTAACCGGCGAACAAGTTTACAATTACGCACGCCAACAACTGGCTAAATACAAAGCTCTCGATGGAGGTGTCGTATTCGTCGAAGAGATCCCTCGCACTGCAAGTGGCAAGATCCAGCGTTTCAGACTGTCCCAGATGAACTCCTACCGTGAGATGGTGGCGTCTCTGCTGTCCCGATTCGATGGTGACGGCTCTGCTGCAGCCACCGCGGCTCGGCGTGGACTACCCGCTGCGGCTGAGATGTCGCATGTCCCTCTCATCCCCGAAGGACGGGTTGCAGTCTAAAATAAGAAAGAGGGGCGGTATTTTTGCAGAATATACATCGCATATGAGTTGTATCCCACTCATTCAGCGGTGAGGTGGTGCGGTGAATGGGACAGGGGAAGGCGTTTGGGATAGAACATGGCGTTGTCGGACATTTGGTTCTTTTGCATTTAATTTTTTTCTCTTCGTTTTCGGGAGGTCATGTCTTTTCGGTGGTCAACACTTTTTTTGTTCTTATGACATAGACTTCTACCTCCTTACGATGGTTTCCAAATGAATTTCAGTTATTATTATTCATTTCATACTTGTATCACCTAGAGACATACTCCGTACCTAGTTACAGATTATCTACATAGTTACTAATTAATCACCTATTTGCATTCAAACATTACAAATCCCACCAAATCCACCATTCACGGAAATAAATCCATCCCCAATCCTCAAAGTAAACAACCTAGACCCATGGACTGGTCTCCAACCTCCGAACCACTAAATCTGCATCATGCAGTAAGACTTTAGAACCACCCACACCGCACTTCCAGTCCCACTTCCCTGTCCCATCCCAGGGCCTCGGTTCTCGATCTCGGATCTCGGCTTGCATCCGTAGAAGCCGCTGAAGAAATATGATGTGTATAACCCGGCAGGAGAAAAAAAAAAACAAATAATATATATTTCTTCTAGCGCCACGCCGGATCCCACTCGCATCATGCACATGCGAGGTCCCAAAAATACGAAAGTACCTACATCACCAAAGTACATATGTGGGGGTGAGGTGGGGAGGCTGGATACATAACACGGAATCCGAATCCGAGAGCGATCATGGAAAATCCCACGATGAAGTGCATCCGCGCCAATACTTATGCAGGCGTGGGTGGAGACAACCGTAGACGTTCCGTTTCCAAGGTTCCCTGCAAGGGGCGCGCGTCCTTTGGTACTGGAGCGGGGATCGACGGAGCTAAATAGGTTAATTATTGATGACCCGATTAGGTTGCATAACCAGCTTGGTTAGATTTGTTTTTGTTTTGGTTAGAGTTAAGGCAATTATATAGGTCCACTACATAGTTATTCAAAGGTACGGAGTACAAAGTACAGGAGTATAGCGGGTCTTGTTTCAGCTGGTCTGGGTCTTGCTAGTTCTGGTGCCTTTTTTTTTATTGTGTGTGTATGTGTGTGTTTGTGCGGGCTTCGATCCTGGGTATTTCCGGTGCGGAGAGTGTCCCGCAGGGCCGCGCTTGTCGGATCCAGTCCGCTTGACAAAGGTCGGGATGTTAGGTCGGCCCGATGGGATTTTTGGCACGTCAGGTCTTGCACGTCAGGTTCTTGCACGTCAGGTTTTTGCACGTCAGATTTACCAAGTCTACGGGATTGCCATGTTTGGGGGTCATTGTCCTTGCTTTTCTCGGGAGTTATACCTTTCCCTTCTTTGGGTATAAGGAGGAAAATATCAAATGATACCTTGCATGAGGCGAAACCCAGGATTCATAGTAGCCCCCCCCTTAAGGAAAACTGATACATGTGACTCAGAATACGATATGTTCGGGAATAGAAATGTACAAATCGAGTCAAGCGATGTAAATATCTTCCGAATCACGAGGTTGGTTTACTGTGCAGAGTAATTACAATTTTAATTTTTTTAGTTGGGTGCAAATGCATTTGGATTTGTTGAGCTTGACGTGTGCGGTGAAGAAGCTCGGCCCTAATATCTACGACATATCAAATCCACGCTGTCAATATGGTGCCTGAGCCGAGGACCAAAGTACCGGGGAAAATCAAATTCTAGACTCAAATCGAAATTGTCTAGATCCGTTCTATCCATGCGTCTAGAACATGTGAAAACCACGATCACATCAAGGATACCCCTGTAAGTTCTTCAATTAGTCCCCGGGGTGATGAATAGTTCTAGTATGGAGTAGTACATCGATAGAACCCCCAATTTCTCCAACCAGGATTCCAATTGAGCGTATAAATAGGAAAAGCGAATTTGTGTTCTCTTTCCTGCCCGGGGCCATTTGTGTGACTGGTGATATCTATCTCAATGAAGGTTTGTCGTTGACCTGGGTATGCCTTCATGGAAAGGCTCCACTATACGTCATAACTGTTTCAGTCGGTGAGAAAGGATCTGATGAAGTGAACGCCAAGGCCAGAACTGCCAGCGCGACAAGTATGAGCAGGGATGATGGAAGATACGTGGAGTTCGCGTACCATGAATGTAGTGTCGACGATTTCGTATGTGAGGGCGATCATATGACAGGGGGGCCATGGTGGCGTTCGGACATTTGTTTGGTGGGATAACTTGTAGGGAGATGGGTTGATGAATTGACTACCTATTTGACATCAATTGACATTCTGGACAAGGGGCTAGGTTTATTTAACTGTCACTGTGCTATATCCCTGTACCATGTGTCAGGTATATCTGCGTTGCATGATGTCCACGTTTCAAAGTTGACTGGGTATAGATGCTTTGTTGTTCTACCAACAAGAATAGTAGGCCACTTCTGCGGCCTTGTGAGGTCTTTTTTTGGTAGTCATTTCCAATGTCTTTTTAGGTGTCTTTTTTTTAAAAATATATTCTCACTATTGGTGTTGTAGCTGAAATATAAAATGTGCAATTCGACATTCTATGGATAACCTTAGAAAAAATGAGGGTAAAAAGCATACTTTGTGCACACGACTTTTCTATGTATATCCAGTGATGATGGTTGGGATACAGTGATGAAACCTATCTTGAGGTTTTGTTTCCGATCCTCAACAAAGGAATCAGAATCCCTCCCTAATGCAACTCCTATCTTCACAACCTTCCTTATAGTAAATCCGTACTCTCTATCCCCAGCTCAAATGATACCATACCCCATCCACCATACCCCCCAAATCAAAGGTCCCAATGCCCCAATCACAGCTGCCCCAAACGATAACTCCAGAATACACCAAATCCAAATAGTCCCAACAGCAGGCGCCTTCTTCATAACCGCATAATACGGCTCTCCATTGGTGACAGAGATAAGATGTGCGCCAAGCACCGCAGCAAGAGGAAGAAAGACGAGAGTCTTCAGGGCAGGTGGGAAAACCAGCTTTCGTAGGAATGAAAAGGTCAATTTGTCACTTGTTAATGGGAACAAATAAAGAGGAGCAGGCTCTGCCTTTGAACTGCCCTTCTTGAAGGAGATGATATGACCGTGTGCTAAATGGACGAATAAAGTGAGGAGAGGGAAGGCAGTTGTCGCGGATTCTTTGAAGAGTTTTGGCAGGTCGATGCTTTCGGCGTATTGGTGGGCTGCGAGGTATCCCAGTGTGAGGTGGAGGGTTGTAAGAGGCAGAGAAAGGAGGATTGTGTCGAGGAATGGCGGGAGGGGTTTGTCGGGTTCGGATTCAGGTTCGAATTTTTTGACAGTGGTGCCATTTGCACCCTTTTGACTATTCTTGATCTTCTTTTGAGAGGGATTTGAGAGATGGCTGCTGATGTCGCCGTCGGTGTCGACCAATTCCCCGGACGCGTCGACCGTCACGAATCGCGTGCCCCCTGACTGTGGTGGTATGCCCTGTGCTTCAACTGAAGCTGGGATTGCTCCTCCCTTTGGACGCAGTCCGCTCTGTCGCTCTGCGATGATGTCATATAGTGTGCGCTCGACGGTTGCTTTGTTTTGGGTCGGATCATTGCGTTGGGGATGGGCCATGGCAATTTCGGGTTCGTCTTTTTTGGAGGAAGATCCAGCTGCCGCGCGGCGCTGTTTGCGATTTCTTGGGGTTTCCATCTTGCTTAGGCTGGGTGTGGAGGGATGATGAGTGGCGGGAGAAAAAAAGTTAACAAACACTGACGTGGAGAAATGAGGTTGAGGGTTCGGCGATAAGTCCCATCAACCGGGGTTAAGGTGATCGCGTGTTGGTTCCCAGCTCCATTTTTATTTACACTTTGATCTATATTTCTATTTCTCAGGCTTGGAATAGTAATATGAAAACAAACTTTTTTAAATTGATCATTCCTGCTAATTTTCTGCATCGTTTGACACACCCGGTAAATACAAGGAGCACTCATTCAACCAGCCTGGTACAAAGCTGGACCAGCAACTACATGCGGGTTAATCAAGCTCAAATTGAACGGGCTCGCATATGGATCGTCGTCTGTAATAGCAATGAAGATAGTACCATTGAAAGCTGGGTTACCTTGGTACGTTTCCAGGTCAGGTTGGGTAGTATATCCTCGAATGCTATCCGTGGTACTGTTGGTGCCGTTGACACCATTGGTGCCATTGGTGGTGTTGTTGGTACTGGTGCCGTTATCGCCACTGACAACGTACAGAGGGGTGTAGGTAATGTTCAGTTGGGACACCCAAAGAACATACTTTGCACTACCAGCTTTCGTCTCTGTTGTGGTAATGTAGCTGTTGTTGGGACCGATTTTCTTCCCAGGAAGATCCCATTGCAACAGCACCTGACGACCCGGGGCCGTGAGAGGTATTGGGCGGATTCTGCTAACAGAAGCGCCGCAGCCGTTGCGTGAATTAGACGAGTTAAATCTCCCGGAGCCTTTGGGTGACTTGGGGATGCTGACGCCTGGTCCGACAGTATTGTTGATTCCGGTGGTCTCATTGAATATGAATCCAGTAGTCTGGTTGAACCTAGAAGTTGCGTTGAGCCTTGAAATTCGATCGGCACTGGTGGTAAAATTGTACACAGTGGAATTGTACCCAGAGGAATTGTACGCAGTAGGATCATATCCGGTAGAATCATATCCAGTAGAATCATATCCGGTGGAATTGTTCCCATTTCTTCGGTAATTAGCCGAAGAAAGGTTGCGAGGAGTCCCCGAAATCCACGGATCAGGCTGATTGACTACCATCAGCGTTGGGAAATTTTGCCAAATCAAGCGAGTCTGATTTTCAGGACAAGAGCTGATGAAAGGTGCCAGCAGCGTCCAAGCCCAGGACTGCGGTATGCCAACTTCAAACCACTCTACCATCGGGAAGAGACCCTCAAACTGACGGAAGATCAGTTGCTGTCGGGCTTCCGTGGTGATGGACTGGGTCAAGAGAGTGGCCGCCTCGCGCGAGTCAAGATGAGCCAAAAATCCATACACGCCAGATTCACCCCAGCGAGTGAGTTTCTGACAGAAGTCGACAAACTCCTTGACATTTGTGTACGGATAGATATAGTTGCACTGCTGTGGGGCACGTGCTCCGAGGATGTTGCTGAGCATAGTGGCATGGCCTATCTCTTGTTGCGCCATAAATGCGATCAACTCGCGGTCTGAAGCGGTCATACCGGCGGCTCTGAAAGCTGAATCGTTGAAACGCCTGAGTCCGTCTTGGAACAGATCAAGCTCAATCCATTCCTGGTATAGAGCAAGGGCCTGTGGATTGTAGGTTAGCTTCTCAGCCACACCAATGCTTTGTCGATTTAGTGCCGATGCATACCAAAGACTCGTAGTCGAAATCGCTCTTCGTGTTGTAGACGGGCGTGCTTCCGTTGGTCCCGACACCACCCGCCGGGACATATGGAGCGGGCTCAGAATGATGAAGATTTCCATCGCCAGGATATGTTGTCGCTGCAACTGCAACACCTCCGCGGGAGATGCCCGTTCCGATTGAAGAAGCTGTCAGCGCACCTGTGGTTGTCGGAGTTCCAGTAAAGGGTGTATGTAGCCTGGAGCTATTGTAAGTTCGAAGTGGGGGCGCTGAAGCCGATGCATTTGCAGCTGGCAGTGGCAGGTCAGGGGTTGTTGAAGGATCTTGGTGGTGCTTCTTCGGAGAAGCAGCCGCAAAGGGCAGTGAGCTCAATAGACTCAACAGAATGAGACTCTTCCAGGTCATATCGGTTCAGAGTCAGAATTCATGCAGTTCATGCAGTTCAAAACAGCAAAAGCCTTTTTGTCGCTGGTCACCAAAGCATTTGGTTAGTTGTATTGTTCGAAAGCCTTCGGATAGGTACGGACCTTGTGTAGAGTACATATAGTGTTACTTTAGCCAATATCCGTATATAAATGATCACCAGTAAAGGCAATCCAACGTCGGGGTCCTTGCTTTTGATGTAAGAAAATCTCACATTGGTGAAGACGCCATCTTCAGGACTCAAATGTGGGTAGCTTTGAACGGGGATGAATTCCGAACGGTGAAATTGCCACATGGTAATGTTAAGGTTCTTTGGTGTAATTTTAATGGCAATTTGTTCTCGCCAGAGGGGGCGTGCTTTGTACACTTGGCTGATCAACTTGTTGCAAGGTACTGCAATTCGTTCTTAGAGAATAACCCCGGGATACTTCGGCAACAGATGACGTCGGAGTAGGCTTCCCCTGCCAACATTCCATGGACCTGAACAGACTGAAGTACAATTCGATATATCTGTGGGGGTGGAAATCGAATCCGACCGGACGCTGCCGGAAAGCTTTTGGGGGAACAAGGGGAAAGGCTCTACGAAACTCAGTTGAACTATCAGCATAATAGATATATAACAATGGAAAGCAGTTGAAATTCCACAAGGCTGCAGAAATATAATTGCTCTGTCGACGGAATCCATGACGATATTTCTCATAGAGATAGTCCCGAAGCCGCAATATCAGAGTGCACGATGCTAGAGTAGTTCTCCAACCCAACTCTATAAGCACCAAAATTCACTGCGTCCGCCAGCCACCCTCTCCCGAGAAGTAACCATAGGTGTCACAATGGGGCACATTGGCAGTGATCCTCACACCATTAGACCAGGTAATCTCCATAGTAGAGCCCATAATAGTCGCGGTAAAAGGATCCCGACTCTGCAGAGACTGGCGGATACTTTCGAGCTCCTTCCAAGGGATATTCACGACTGCAGGGGCCCGTTGAAATGGAGCCGCCGGTTGGCCGCGAGCATTCTTCTCAAATACCCATGGCTCGCCGTTAATCATGAACACACCAGCCAGAGAATTGCCATTCTGGCTGGTCAGGGATCCGATCCATTGAGGCATGACTAAATAGTCAGTGGGCGATCCTTCAATCCTTCTAGAAATGATACGTACTGGGCTTTTAGGGAGCCTCGAGAGCTGTGCGAAGGTAGAAGGGGGGAAGGGGGTTGGGAAGGATTTGCTTCTTTTGTGTTACATTTACATATCTGTCCAGAAGAAGGAAAGGAGAGGGTTTGCCGGGTAGCCCAGCCGTAGATGCATCATTTACCGCTATCTTCGTGATATTTTATCCAACCATACCATAAGTGGATGTTGCACAACACTTTCAAGTGTGCTTGTTCACCGCTCGTTTTCGTTTTCGTCCTGTTGCAGCGCTCATGCAGCTTGTTGAGGTCTATATTGTATCTACGAGCATTGTCGAAAAGTGGCCTAGGCGGAATACTGTGGGTTATTTAGCCGAGCGTAAGAGCAAATCATATGCAACTATCAGATCCCGTGTCTAGAAGTTAAAAGTACCAAGTACGTCGTACCTTGCCTACACAGGAATATGACCCATCACAGGCTTCCTCCGGTGCAGGAAAGTGGATCCGCAAGCGTTCCCGCAATTAGTTTCCGCATCTTCAATGGGGCCTTATTACATACATGTGCTATGCTTAACACTCCATAAGAACAGGGCTGGGGATATTATAACTGAGTTACTGGGTGCATTGCGCTCAAAGATATCTGACCATGCAATACATCATGTAGAAGAACCGAACTGGGCAGATGCTGCAGTCATTATTACCATGCAGGCTAGACGACTCGCGTAGGCCTGTATAATCATTTGGATGCCTTAAGTAGGTTGATCAGGCTGCTAGGGATCATTGAAACTGGGACGTGGTTATATTAAATAGTTATATTGTAGTTATACATGACTCAGTGAGCTAATATATTATATACCTTGGTAGGCCCAAAGGAAATAGTGGAGCATATAGTTGGAGTTAGTGTATGTTTTTCTTCTTCCTGGAAGGTTATCCGCGTAGATCATAAGCTTTATATCAATGAGCAACATCCATGCATTTCTGCGCTACTTGCGCCAAAAGGACTTTGGGGAGTAACCTATGAGAGCCTACATATGCCTGCACCTACATATGCCTGCAGACGGTTGGCCTTGGGCATTCAGGCAAGAATTTGGAGTGGCCTGGCCCAGTGGCGATCTGCGTCACCGCTGTTAGTCACGAAGCATCGAACTATCGAAATATCACAACCTTTTTGTTATAATAGGGAAACCTAGACATGGACACCCTACTCAAAGTGAAGGTACGGATCTTCCCTAAATGTATGCCATATTACTGACAATTTCAATTTTTAGTAGAACTATTCGCAAACCCATACACTCCACAACATGCATTTGTAATATGCCGAATTGAATGGAAAGTCGGGGTTTGTCCGATATAATTTATCCTCGGCTGCATCGCCGAAATAAAGAGGGGAAACTGCAGAATGACGATATCTCAGTGGGGTGATTCCTATAGAAACCATCACTCTCGATTCCCTTTCTCTTTATCCAACCCTTTTGAATTAACCAGCTAACAACCATGGCCCATCTCCAAGCATCAAAGCTATTCTCAGTCAAGGACCGGGTGGTCGTGATCACCGGCGGCGGAAGTGGTAAGAACCAATCGAATCACATCTCACAGATACATACAATGTACATATAATCTAATAGAAATACAGGCCTCGGACGTATCATGACCAAAGCCTTGGATGCCAACGAAGTCTCCAAGATCTTCATCCTAGGCCGACGCGAGGACGCACTAAAAGAAACCGCCTCGCTGGCCATAAACGGCACTGTCATCCCGATCCAATGCGACATCACCTCGAAAGAATCTCTTGAGGCAGCTTACAAAACCGTCGCAGCCCAAACAACACATGTCGACCTCCTAATCGCTAACAGCGGCATAATGGGTCCGCTCATGAAGCCCCCGCAACCCGCAGAAGACGGGTCCCTCCCGCCTCTCTCGCAAGTCCGCGACGAACTCTTCAATGTCCCCATGGAGGAGTTTAACAACGTGTTGAATGTGAATGTTACCGGGTCGTATTACACGGTTCTGGCGTTCTTGCCTCTGCTCGAAGCGGCGAATAAGAGACGTCCTGCGCCGCAGCAGGATGTTATTGCTGCCCCAACTGCGCAGGTTGTTATCACTAGCTCGATTGCCGGTTTCCTTCGCAAGGTGCCGTTTAGCTTTGCGTATAACACTTCCAAGGCCGCTACGACGCATCTGATCAAGTTGCTGTCTACATCGTTTGCTTACTATGGTATTCGGGTTAATGGCATCACGCCTGGCCTTTACTACTCCGATATGGCCAGTCATATCTTCCAGGCCTCCGGCATTGAGGGTCGGGCTATTTCTGATGGCTCGTTCCCGAAGGAGATAATTCCTGCTACTCGTGGTGGTGGTGAGGAGGATATCGCGGGTTTGATTCTCTGGTTGGCTAGTGACTCGGGTGGTTATATCAATGGTTCCATCTTGGTTACTGATGGTGGTCGGATTTCTGTTTCGCCGGCTGTCTACTGAGTGGTGTTTTGTTTGGGTTAAGTGCAGTTTGGGTATACATAGACTGTACAGGTTTGAGTTTCAATGAAGATAGAGATATGTAAATTTCTTGGTTGCTAGATAGGAATGTTGAATCGCTCATGAGTGCAAGGAAAATGAAACGCACGAAATGAAAATTGTTTTCATCGGACCAATCTCAAGGTCATGGTCCAACTATTCAGTAGGTCGCTGTCAATCGTTGGACCAGGTAATCACCTGAAGTAATCGCTGAGTATTTCTTCTCCACTTGAATTTCCTCGCCAAAGGTTCCCGGTAGTGCTTCAATAAGTTTATCGTTGTTGGGGTTGCAGAAGTACGCTATGCTGTACCGAGCAGGATACTCCGAAGCATCGTGCCCAGAGCCCTCGGGCGCGGTCGGCTGAATTACCCGATGACGGGTACTCTTAATAGTGTCATTGGACCATCGAGCAAGCAGATCCCCCGCATTGACAACAATGGTATCAGCAATGGGAGTCGCATCCACAAAGGTTCCTTTGGGACTGCGCACTTGCAGCCCACCGTGTCGATCCTGGAAGAGCAGGGTGATTGAACCATAATCGCTGTGCTCGCCGGCACGGACTTGGTTAGAGTTATTTTCGAAGACTTGTTTGCTGACGGGAGGATAGTGAAGGAGACGGAGGGTATTGTCACCAGCATTGACAGAGCCGTCGAAGAAATGCTCTGGCAAATTCATTCCCAATGCAATAGCCTGCATGATATGCTTATGTAGGGTCTTTCCCATTTCGAAGAATGACTGCATGGTTTTTTTGAACTCTTTTCCTTCGTCATCAAGATGATCAGGCCAGCGATTGGGCAGGCCCTCAACTTCCTCACGACCAATTTCCATAGTCTCCTTGATGTCAGGTGCGGACGCCCGCAGAGCCTCGGCTCCGTTTGTCTCGTCGACGGTCATTAATTTCTCCCGCCCGATGGCGACGTAACCACGGTTCGACTGTGGGGTCGTCCAGCCCAGAGAATCCTTTTGACTCTGGGGGCGGGCGAAGAAGCGCGCAGATGACGCAAATACCTTGGACACAATGGATGGTGGAATTCCATGTGCCTTTAGGTATAGGAAGCCGGATGTTTTGAAGGCTTGAGTTATGGAGAGAGCGACGGCATGTTTATCGGATGGAGTCCCTGTGAAGAATGGGCCGAAGTCGATCAGCTAGAACAGATTCCATTAGTCGTGACTTGAAATAACCGGAGATAGAGCATACTGGTATCATCAAATCATCCTTATCTACCGCAGCAGAAGCAGGATTGTCTGGGGACGTGTTGGAGGCCATTGCGTACACGCTTCCTGGGGATTATGAACGCTGCTACTGTAGGGGGAGACTGAGACAAGTTCAACAGCCTGTAAAGAGAGGTTCTGTCCGAATGGAAAGGGAAGATCTAAAGAAGAGGGGAAAGTCGGGGAAAGGGAAGATCATGGGTCAGCTGCATACATCAAAAAGATAAGCCCGTCCAGGGAGATAAGCCTTCAGATAAGCCTTGACATATTAGATTTGACTGTGTGTATTGACATCTATTACATCTATAGAATCAGCTGCTATCGGACAATTCTTTGCTTGATTACTATGTTTGGACTTGAACTGACAGTGCAGATCAATCCACACCCCCACACCCCCTCCACGTTGACCCTGCATTGTCAGCATGGTGTATGCTCTGACCAATCCTCTGCATGATCTCAAAGCCAAAAATAGCCTTCATCCCGCTCTTAACATTCTGAGTAGCGTAGAAAAGGAACTAAAACTAAACATGCTGCTCACATATGGTGATAAATGGCGAGCAGACTCCCCCAAGGAACAAGCGGTGGGACTTGACATCCCGCACTGCAACAGTCGAACTAGGAAGCCATTTGGCATCTCCGTCCTCCACCAGCTTCGAGACCTCACAGTCCTTCCCGCTGCGAGTCCTCAGCTGAGCGGCTATTCCATTAATCGCGAGAACAGTAGCAGGGGCAACAAAGCTATGTGGATCTTCTATGGACTTCATAAACGCAATGGAGTTCGGAATTGCGGCAGCTAGGAGGTTCCCATCTGCGTCGAGCGACAGACTATCGAGTGGGTATCCTGTGTTGATTTTATCGACTTGAATCAACTGGTCGCCAACTAATTTGTGAACAGTCACGATTCCAGTCACTGAATGAGCCACATAGTACATCCCGTTATCTTCGACGATCCCATTGGCAAAGGAAAACCCCTTGTTGGCAGCGACATGGCACTTTCCTGTATCAGATCGACAATAGGTGAGACTTCCTCCGCCAATCAACATTTCCAACTCCACAAAAGTGCCAACTTTGGCGTTGCGGTCATTGGTAATCACGATCCCCAAACCATCCTTGTCAACGGCCAAGTTGTTAGGCGAGATGATCGCGTCGTTGGCTATAGTTTTGACATGTTCAAGTGTCTCTGAGGCATCGTTCAAATCAAATATCTCAATTGTGGAGTTCGCACCAACGACCCAGGCATCAAGGAACTCGCCTGTTGTAGGATGGACTGGGGGCCTATGATTGATCAACCAGAACCGAAGTCTGCCTTCAATACGGCGCACATCGAATCCATGTAGATCCAGATCGCCGAGATAGCCACCAACTTTGAGCTTGTGGAGGCCATACAGCCCGTCCGAGCCAGGTTGGTCAATGTTCAACACTGCGATATGATCCGTTTGGGACCTCGCAGAGACGTTGAATTTGCTGCCACCAGGACTCCATCCTTGTCTGGAGTCTACAGCGCTGCATGCTGCATACAGTTTCCGTTCCTGGTCGTCTAACCACAGATCCTCGCATCCTTCTAGGAGAGGATGTTGGAGGCGAGTGCAGGTCCATGGGAATTCATCAATTGATTGGATCTCTCGGCCTGTGAGGGCCTGGCCCTCAGGGGATGGATGACGGATGTATTATTAAGCAGCGTAGCTTATCCTACGCAGTAATTCCATAGCAATATAAGTATCTTTACCACAACCAGGCTTATTCCATAACACATTGGTAGCATGTCCTGCTAAAGCCAGAGGTTCTCTGGTTAGACATACCATACGGTTACCGAATTCTCCGGTCGCTAAGCCCCTAGGTTACCAGCGGCTAAAGGGTTCAGATCACCTACGCCCTCCCCCCTTGACCCCCTGTCGTTTTCACCGAAAATTTTTTTCGGGTTATGTCAAACGCAACGGCGCTCCGGCGAGCGCTCCGGATTATATGCGGTTGTGTCTCACACTACCTGTGTTATAATAAACCGCGGGCCTATCGCTCGCGCGCAGTCATTTCCTCTATACACGGGGATCGCGAGCTCAGTTACCTAACCGTAGGGACTCGCTCCTTCCCTAGACTATCGCTCTTCCCCTAACCATCCGGTTACCTAACCTAGGAGCTTATTCTAACCCTATATCGCCTATCTGTTACCTCTCGCTCTCTTTATCCCTAAGGATATATAGTTATTATATTAGGGTGATATTTATCTACACTTATTATGTTAGGGTAACATCTGATATTACTTACTAAGAAGTAGCTTAAGAGCTATATCCTCCTTAGGTATTAACTACTTATATACTTTGATGACCTAAAAAATTTATATTAGGAGCTCCGGACTCCTAAGTTTATAGATAATATCCTCTTTATTATAGATACCTACGAAATACCCTATCTTCTAAAGGAGAACTTATACCTAGCCGATTAGTTACTATAAAAGGAGCTAGGATAAACTATATAGGAGTTTTAGAAGCTTATCTTAAAGATCCCTATATAGTACTATTAATATTAAGATAAGCCTCGCTAGATATAGTATCTAAGAGAGCCCTTAGGGTCTTACTAAGTATAGCCTCCTAAAGAGTAGCGTTAGATATAGTATCTAAGGGAACCTAAATTATATTAAGTGTAACTATATTAGTAGGAATACTAGTTATATATAAGTCCTATTACTCTAATACTAGGAACCTTTTCTCTTTTTATAGACCCGCTTAAGGGCTTAAGTGACCTCTCTAGTAAGGTCCTACTAGGTAAATCGGAATATACCCTCCCTTAGCTTACTACCCCACTAGTACTAATATAAGGTACGTAATAAGATATCCTATAGGGACCTTTGTCTAATATTACCTTATTAAGGGCTAAGCTGTATAAGATCCTTAATAACGCGCTTACCTAAGCCTATATACGCGAGGCCGATAACGTTTGAGTAATAGTTAACAAAGTTATTATAGCGCGTTATAATAATATTCGCGGGCTACTAGGCTAAGATAGATAGGATATACTATATAGTATTATATACTAGAAGATAGATAATATAGGTTACTTTATACCTAACCCTACGTTAGACGTATATATTCGTACTTTTCGGGGAACTATATACTATACGAATATTTATATATTTATTAACCAGCTAAAGGTATTAATCCTATTAAAATCTAAAAAAGTAGTCTGTATAAACCTACTATTATACCTACGAGAGGTAGTAGTATAATAGTATAGCGCGGAGCTATTAGATAAAGAGAGATAGGATTTAAGTATCCGCTCTCTATAGCTAGGCTAGTTCGCTATACTAGAGAGATAGTTTAAGCCGCGTGTTATAGAGGCAATTATTAAAGTAATAGCGCTATTATTAGTCTACTCCTAGAAGGATATACGCGTAGGATATAGTATTACTAAATAGGCCTAAAATATATTATAAGATATTTAGGTAGCCGAGATAATAGGTACTATAACAGTACTCTATCTAGTATAGATATGTCTTAAATTAGCGCTCTAGTATAATATATAAGAACTAACCCTAGCTACTATAATCTTATAGTTTATAGCGGACCTAGATTTATATTATAGATAGTAGTATAAGATATTATAATACGCCCGACTGATATAGTGTCAGACATAGCCCTAATTAGTTTATTACTAAGGTTAGTAACACTAGCCCTAGTATAATCCTTATAATATAGGTTATACCTATAGTTATAGTCGTAGATAATAAGTATACTAGCTACCCTTCCGACTGTAAGATATATAAACTAATAATCGCTAGTTTATATAGAATCTGATTCCTAACATATAATAATAATAATAGTAGTAGTTCTCTAGGAATACCTACTAACCACTATTAAATATTCCCTAAACCTAGGCTTAGTATATATCTTATATACTACCCTAGTAATAATAGCCTTACTTTCTATAGGGATCCTACTAGCTACGTTAGTAGTAGCTATAGGGCTAGACTAACTAAGCTAGCTAGCTCTTACTCTCTAATAAGCCATAGAACTAAGCCAGTTACTCTAATATAGGCTATATAGTATGGCAGCCGCGCGCTTAGCTAGCTACAGCGTACTAGATAGAGCTATAGGAAGTTACTCCCCCTAATAAAAACTTACTAGTATTCTATAATAGCTAATATATCTATAACCCTTATACTAACGTATATTACGTAGATAAGGAGTATAATAGCTATATAGAGTACCCTAAGGAGGATCCCTAAGTATACTAGTAGGCCCCCCCTTTTTAGGATAATAAGGATAACTATAACTAACTATATTACTTAGTAACAGAGGATCCTACACCTACTACTACCTACCTATACTATTCTACCGCCTTCCTATCTAATAATAAGCTATATATATACTTAAAGGACTGCGCTTTAAGATATATAGTAGCTATAGTTAATAATACTACTATTATATATTATATATCCTAGTAGGAGGGTACTAAGATAGATACCCTACCCCTAGACTTACTAATAATTAAATTAGACTAGGTATAAGCTACCTAGCCAGGTATAACTTATAAGTTATAGCGATATATATTAATAGTTATCAGATTAACTAATTAATATAAGCTACTTATTATATACCTCGATACCGGGTATATTATAACTATTATTAATATAGATCTTATAAAGTTACTAGGACTCCCGCTGTAAAAGTATATACTAGTGCCTATCACTAGGATTAGATCCTACTATTTATTATCTATATATATCTTATTTAATACCTTCTTCCGCGGTATAGATAATATAGCCTATATTCGTATTAAAGTATATTTAGTCGAAAACCTAAAAGCGAAACTCTTAATTAGAATAGATATTATAGGTTATAAAGGCCTTTAGTTAGACTTTAATATAAAGATAGTTAAGATCCTATTATATATAGGTCTAGAAATCCTAATTTCTATATATATTAAGCCCTACCACACGGCCTAGTATATAGTTTACGCAGCCGAATATATCCTTATTCCCCTATATTCTATTATATATATACTAGCGTATATATAAGCGACGCTACTAGATAATAGGGACTATATATTTAAAGGTTATTATCGCTAAGCTGTATTTTACTCCTACTTAGTTAGGGCAAACTTTACCTAGGTCTAAGCTATTAATAATACTACTAACCCGATCTCCCTTCGCCGTTAGGACTATATTAGTACCCTATATAAGGTAGATATACCTATAGCTTATACTATAGAACTAATAGTCACAGAGCTCGGCCGCTCTACTACTAAAACAGATTTTAATCCTAACGCTAACCTACCTAATAAAGGCCTATATTATATATAGGATAATAGCGTTTAGCTAAATAACGGAATCATACTATAGGCCGGTTTATAGCCCTCCTAAGCTTAGTAGCTAACTAAACTCTTAATATCATATAATATCTAGGGCAATCGGCCTATTATAGTTAATATTCCTAAGGGTTAGTAGATAACTATTCCGCTAGTCCTAGGCTAGGAATCTAAACTCCTAAAATCTAAGATCTACCTAGTCGGCCTAAAGGACCGCGCTATAATTAATAAGATATTCTAGCCTCTGTATAACTAAGGAAAGATAAGCTATATAACTAAGTATATAGTAATAGGCTTCCTAGTCTTTATTATCTAGCGTATTATCTAGTACCTAGGGTATAAGCCTAAACAAAAGGGTCGCGCTATTATTAACCTCTATCTATTAAATAAGGTTATCTAATATAATATTTATCCTATCCCTATAATAGATAATATTATCCTCCTAACTTAGGGTAAGTAGTATA